CGATAGTCCTTTAATCTCCAAATCATATAGTCCGACGGTCCTATATCGATAATAATATATAGTTTGACAGTCATTTAATAGAAAAAACCATACAGTCTGACAGTACTATAATCCGACAATCATATAGTCCAACAGTCCTATAATCCGAAAATCATCTAGTCCGACAGTACTTTCATCCCACAATGGTATAGTCCGACAATCCTTTAATCACACAATCATATAGTCCGACAGTACTATAATCATACAGTCCGACAGTGAAAAGAGCTGCAGGTCGTTACAGAACGACGTTACTCATATAGCAGCATTTCGTGCATCGCTTGCATTGCAATGTTTTAAACCCTTAATACTTTAAAACAATATTATCATGTTTGAACATTTTTAAACTATTTTGATTATTCATTTATATTTTTATCATTCTATCTAATCGTCGGTTAAACATACAGTAACAATTTAGTATAAAGTAATTGTCAAAGATGAAGTCATCTCAAAGACTGCATTTGTTTTAGAAGTTGCGTTGGTTGTATCGGAATTACGAAAGTTGATCACATGCCGATTATTATTGAAATAATTCTCGGCTTGCGGATTAAAATCCCTTCTACTCGGAGGTCCGAGGGTATCCGGGCTGAAAAGTAACACTTGCCTATTTGACTGCGGTCAGAATAATTTCACTATTTTAAAATAAACTAACGTCCATTCGCACGGGGAATGTAAAACCTGAAATGCCGTGTTAGAAAATGCTACTCTCAGCGCGTTATAAAAACCCTTGTAGCAACTTTTTTCGAATGGTCTTTAAAATTGGTTACAGTTTCCGTACTTACACAACGCTCCATAACTTATTCGAACAGTGGCAACCACAAATTTTGTCTGTGTCCGATCTTCCCGAACTCATTTTTCATTCATCTTTTCATGCTCATTGTACATAATATGTTTCATGACCATTGCTGTGGGTATAAAACCTTTACCTGTTATACTTAGATGGTAATACCGTTCGATCAATCGATCAATGTTGGTATATTATGAGGAATGTAATGCATCTGATAAATATGTATACAGACTGGAAATATAAGACACATCGCCATGCATATTCAAAAATCTTTTCATTTGTAATAAACGGATCGGGTTTTTTCTTTCTTGTTCAGTTACATGTGTACCATTTTCTGTTGTACATGTTGAGGTATTTTAGTTTAGTTTAGTTTTTATCAGCTGACAAATGAGAGTGTGACTAACCATCTAGTTAAAGTTCGAGTTATACTTAGAGTTCGAATATTAGTTCGAATACAAGTTTGAGTTAAAGTTCAAGTTATACTTCGAGTTTGAGTAAAAATTCGGGTTATAGTTGAAATTTCGTGTTCCAATGAAATTTAGAGAAAGATTGCGGTTTCTATTTCTCCTCGTCCACCGGGTTTTTCTTTGAATGTATATATTCTTTCATCATATGTTTTATTTCGTATGATATATCTTTTTTTTTTGCCAATGATCATGATAGGTAAACTACTAGAAGTAGTTTGAAAATATTGATTGATTTTATGTGTTATATGCCACTTTCAGCACTCTCTTCTATAACATGGTGGCCACTTTCAATTGGTGAAGGAATCGTAGTATTCAGAGAAAATCAACTACCTTTGTATTTGAAAACTGGTTATCCTTGTTTGTTAAGATCTGAATCTAACGATTTCCCAATTTCAGTGTTGTTGATAGGCATGTGATCACAGTGGGTGATATAAACATGTACCTACATCACAACTATTTTTTATGTTTTTTATGGGGTTTTTTTAAACCATCGATTGATTGTTTTTTTGCTAAATTTTCAGTGGCAAATATCACATGAATATCAGCACGAACACATTTTTCTATGATTTGAATGCTCTTTCAAAAGACGGATTTTTAACGTGTTGATTACCTAAACTGTATTTGACCGTCAAAACCTTTCGAAATTTTGGGTCCTCAATGCTCCTCAACTTCTTACTTTATTTGGCCTTTTTAACTTTTTTAATCGAGCGTCACTGATGAGTCTTTTGTAGACGAAACGCGCGTCTGGCGTAATGAATTATCATTTCAGACATTTTGTAAAATATATTTTATTTTTCCAGATTTTTTTTCCGACATTTTAGTAATATGCCTGAAAAAAATTTGTCAATATAATAAAAGGCTATCGAATCTTACATGCATTTTAGAAAATGGTTTAAATTTTCTGGTATGTTACATAATGTCACAGTAAGTGTAGAAAATGCTTAAATTTTCAAGCATGTTTCAGAATATCGAAATGTAGAAAATGCCTGTATCACATCTCAAGGGCGGATCCATGGTTGGATAAAAGGAAGGTGTAAATGTAAATGCCCATAGTGGTAAAAAAAACCCGATTCTATGTGCAAAAATGATATTTTGTTTTAGTAAAATTGAACCAACCACTGCATGTATACATTGTATACATAAAGGTATTATGATTTATTATATATGTCTCCTGACTATTATAAGTTATTCCCAGATTTCTCCGAGTAAAGCTGAAAATTAGTCAGCTGAGATGTCGATTAATATAACCGAAATCCGTAAAATGCTATTAGACGAAATAATTCTTTAATTCAATACTTCTTTACTCCAGCTATGGGACATGTATATATATATATATATATATATATAAACGCCTAAAAAGTGTACACAGCAACACCAATAACAAAAAAAGGAACTATAAATGTAATTATTTATAAATATTTCGGATAACAGATATCCTTCATCAGTAAATATGATTGTGATGTTGAATGAATCATATATCAGTCTACTTAGATTAAACTATACAAATCTTGAAATTTATACAATAAAAATGTCAAACCGAACATCAGGTAAGACGCTTGCACAATTCTAAATATGTTTTAAACACGACATAGGTTATATGACTAATTACAACAGAGAGTTCAAATATATGCTTTAAATAAAAATAATAATGTGCGATATGAACTAGCACAATTCTAAAGCTTTAACGGTGACGACAGTTATGATGTTACAAGAACGATTGCGTCAATAAGAATTCCAAATAAACAGCACTGAACGATCTAAATTTGTAAATATTTCAAATTTGACAACGGTAGAGTAGTTGCAACAGAGTCTGTGTATTTAAACATCGCAAACAAACGGCCGTTAAAATATAATAATAAATTTTGACTAAGGTTAACTAGTTGAACGTGGCTTGGTACTTTTACATCCCTCAAAAAATTAAGCAATTTAAATCGGTATATTCAACAGATTTATTTTAGAGATGAGTAAGGTAAAGAAATAGAAACAGAGACTGTAATAAAAAGTAATACAACCCAAATGTGAAGCACTGCATGGAGTCGAACTACATCTTTTCATTTATCCCATTTGGTGCCAAAGTTGTTAATTTTCTTATCCAAAATCTTTCCCGAGTGAGTCTATCCTCCCTAGACCAAGCAGAGTTGTGGTCAATGATTGTAATGGTCAGTCGATTGAGATCTGCCTTAGTGTGGCCAGGGGATCTCAAATGTCGACTGAGAGGGAGGTCTGGCTTGCATTGGTAGTCGCTACGATGACCGTTCATTCGTTTGTGAAACGGCTGTTCTGACTCGCCAACATACTGTTTACCACATTTACACTTAGAATTGTGCAAGCGTCTTACCTGATGTTCGGTTTGACATTTTTATTGTATAAATTTCAAGATTTGTATAGTTTAATCTAAGTAGACTGATATATGATTCATTCAACATCACAATCATATTTACTGATGAAGGATATCTGTTATCCGAAATATTTATAAATAATTACATTTATAGTTCCTTTTTTTGTTATTGGTGTTGTTGTGTACACTTTTTAGGCGTTTATATAATTTATTTATTGTGTACGTGTATCGTTACTCGTAACGATCCAGCGCCCTCGTGGGAAAAATCGTTGACTATTATTCAGACGTTTTATATATATATATATATATATATAAACAAGTCTAAATTGAAAACAACGTTCAAACCTATGATTGCGTTGGATAAAAATCGCAATTTTTATACGTGTGCATGCAAAACAATTTTCTTGTTAGAGGGGTCTAAATACAGCACAAACAACATTTTCCAAAAGACCAAAAAAGTGAAAAAGTATATTTTAACAAAACGCATTTGACTAACAGGTCGAACAACAAATGTTCTTAAATCCTGCAGACTGCCATTGGCGATTGCCAAATAAAAAATATATATGAGGGTAGGCCATGAATGCCCTTTATCGTCAAGCGTCAAACGTCCGTTTTTCGCTACCGTTAATTAATTCTTTATCGTCATTCGTCAAATCTGATTTTGTAGTTACCGTTAGCGTCAAATGGAGTAAAATGATTACCGTTAACGTTATTTTAACAAACATTTTACCGTCATTCGTCATGTCATTCCAACCCCCATATATATATAGTCAGAAGTCCATTACCCTAGTAATCTGAGACTACTATAACTGTTATAAAATTCTCAGTAGTAATGCATGGATTGTTCTTCTGATATAGTATACCGTCATATAATATTATTCCTATGGTCGCTCAGTGAGGGTAGCTGGAGCTGGGACTAATCCGTTACGTATACTTACAACATATTATGTCCCAGGCTGGTGTAACAAAGTAATATTGAAATCATTTAAAATTGAATATGTTTTATCAGGCGATCCTCCGTGACGTCAGAACTGATGAATGAAAACCTCAATGGTTAATAGCTGAAGAAAAGAACACCTGAGATCATTCAAGAAGTATTATCAAATGATCAGAGACATATAAACGGTGTCACTGTGTATACATATGTCTCTGTTAAAATCATTTAAAAAATAAGTATCATATCGAATAACCCCTTGTGTTCAGTCGAAAAGGTCAGAACTGGCGAATAAAAACCTAAATGGTAGCTTGAGTAAAGAAGTAATTGAAATTATTTCAAAACTAAAGGTCTGAGAACTGATGAATGAATCTACCAAATTTGGCGGGAAATAATTTTGTCCAATCAAATAGCAGGTGCTCATTCATCTTTGTAAAAGTAACAATGGCCGACAAAAACAAATTTTCACCATCAACAAGTGGTCACAGTCTGTCCAGCCCTGCATTGAGCCCGGATGACACAACGACAGAAAATGCAGATGATGAAGATCCTTCATTAGAAAACCAAGATAATGTTGAGCAGACATTGTTCATCAAAATGAATGCGCCACCCGAAAACCGGTGTGTTTCTCGTCATAAGAGTTTTATTTTTAACATAAATATTACAACGTGAATCACATAGATGATTCAGTCACTGTTTTCAATAATGAGCATGAAACTTGCAAAAATATTTCAAAAGCATGTGAAGTTTAGTAAAAAAAAATGGCTTAAAATTAGCTTAGATTCAATTTAGGATAACTTTACAGAATTATAATTATTTCCTGGTAAAACAGCAGAGTATGATACTATCCCATAAAAATGAATTGAACAAATTTACTACCTATAATTGAAGTAAATGCCTCCTCAACAAACCATTTAGGTTATTGAAAATACAATAATGCGACCTAGGGAGACATATAAAAATACTGGTATGGGACTCACTGTGGGACTGTCAACTTATGATTCACTTATGTCATATCTACCCCAGTGTAGATAAATTGGTCATCTAAATATGTTTTCATCTTTTTTACACGGCCATAAACAATGACTATCATACCTGCTAACCTCTGAAACTGTATGAGGGAGATTCACCCACCCCCTTTGGCGTAGCTGCATAGGGTGAGATGTTGCAAATTTATATAAGAGATCCCTTTGCACCATGCCTCAAAATTTATTGAAATGTCCCATTCTGATATTCCAAAGGGGTCAAAGAGACGCAATAAATTATTACTTGGCCCATACTTATGTAACAATGAGCACCTGTTCCCAACAAAACATACTAGGACATCCTCCTCACGTTTTGGTTAAATGTTGCGTATAGAAGCGAAACATGTTTCCGTTGTGGTCAACAGTATATTTTGTTACTCGGAATATCTCAGATTTTCTTTAGCGATACAATGAAATACTAGAATCCTGAACATTTTTTTGACAAAATCAATTCAGCCTTTGATTAGAATATCAAATGGCCATCAATTCGCACCCCTGGCCCCCCTATCAGGGCCCCTGATAGGGGTTTAGACAGCCCCATACCACCAGCCTACAAATGTCCCATTCCATTTTAGATTGAAGGGCATGTGTGTCCAGTGACAGTGTTTGAAACAATGAGTATGTTTTAAGTTTTCTAGCAAAATGACTTTATTATTGCTTAAAAACCATGCATTACTATTGTTATTATTTGTTAATTTTTCATCTATTTATCATTATAAATGTATAGAATATTTCTTTTTTTATACATCTAGGCCAATGACATTGAATAAAAAGAAAAAAATATGGAGGCATGAATAAAACACTATGCTTTAATTTTCTCTAGATCTTTGTTAAAAATTTTAATCATGGTATCTAAGATGAGTTTATTTGTGCTCATTCAGGAAAGGTAAATCATATTCACAAGCAGTCAATGCAACAATCAACATGGAAAAACAAAACCAGAACCAGAATATTCTCAATTATTCTTTCATCTGATATCATTAAAATAGACATGCTATAATTATTCTGTAAGGACATTGGTATATAACATTCAGAAGGAAGATTGAAGAAAAACACACTAAAAAGACAATTTTTACATGGGAAACATCTTGATCTGGGACTTAACTCATGACCAAAACTTCCCAATCTCCTGAGTCTATTACATGTATGCTATTTGTTCCTCTGCTTTTTCATTCCTTCCTGGAAGCTTTTCCTTCTTTGTTGTATACATGTATTATAGATAATCATAGCATTAAGCATCCTGGTTTACCCTCTTGAAAAGTATAAAATGAAAGTATGTTAATGAAAATTGTGGATTGATGGAAATAAAGCTTTTATTTTTGTTGCAGAGGATTATTTTGTAAATTAAAATTAGGGAATAATCTTGCTGTCGAAATGGTGATTTAAGTTGCTAAAAAATAAAAAAAATAGCTAAAACTCATAGTTAAGTAATATTGCCATCAAAATCAGTATAAGGGGGACAACTTGTGATCTGCAATTTGCACAGATTTTTGAATTAACCATGGACTAATACTGTCAATGATTAAATGAAATAAACAAAACAGCTACTTTGTACTGCCTTTGATTTAACATTCAAACCAAATTAAACGGGATACTGAGCGAGAAGTGATATGATAATTTGAATTACCAAGAGGTCTGATGGCTCCTTATAGGAGTTATTGCTCAGGTTTAAATGAGGATTTCTGCTCATTTTAATGTTTTTATGCCCCAGTCGCTTGGTGAAGGGGGCATTAAGGTTTACCCTTGTCCGTCATTATGCATGTCCAGAAATTGGTTTCTGTTCTCTTACTTTAGTTTGCCTCAACCAAAATGAAACTTGTACCCAATGCTTATTACTACAAAACACAGATGAAAGGAGTAGGTCCGGTAAGGGCCGATTTTGGCCTCAAATTTCAGGTTCATCTGATGAAAGATTTTGGACACTTTTTAAACACCTAAGCATGCTAAGTGTCTACTTCAGTCGATTCAATTAATTTATGTGAAAGATTTTAACTGAATTAGTCATTTCAGACGCTCTAATTCAAGCTTAAATATGAAAAATCTATCAAATATACCATAATGTGTCACTTTTCAGATGGTTTTTGTCAAAAATGAAAGTGGTCGCATCCGTGTTCACTCTCAACCTTTAAATATGTTATGTAATATCATCAAGTACAACTTATATTTAAATATTAAGAATGAACACAAATGCGGCCACTTCCATTTAAGACGGAAACCGTCTGAAATTTAACTCAAATTCTAAAATTGTGAAGATTTCAGTAATTTAGCATGACTTAATGATGCTAGTACCCGATATATGTGCATTGTATTGTCAAAAACAGCCCATTTTTATGTAGCAGAAGTATTATACTTTCCAATTAATAGCTAAAAGTTTACATTGTAACAATTTTGTAAAACTGCTATATTTTGGTGCCAAAAAGGGGTCTTACTGGACCTACTCCTTTGAATTTGGGTGGCGTTACATTCCCTGTTCTCAAGTTAAGTCCCTTTATAAATGGAAAAACAGGTGAATTTGCTGTTTCGGCACTCTTAACTTTACGTTGCCTCAACCAAATGTTATGAAACTTTTACACAATGGTTATTACCACCAAACACAGATCAAGTTTGAATTTGGGTGGCATCAATTTAACCGTTCTCGAGTTATGTACCTATATTGACTCTAGCATATTTACAAGTGGGGGCAACTGTGTCGTGGTAACATTTTTAGCTCACCTGACCTGAAAGGTCAAGTGAGTTTTTCTCATCACTTGGCCCTCCGTCGTTCTCGTCGTCTGTTAACTTTTACAAAAATCTTCTCCTCTGAAACTACTGGGCCAAATTTAACCAAACTTGGCCACAATCATCACTAGGGTATCTAGTTTAAAAAATGTGTGCGATGACCCCGCCTGCAAACCAACATGGCCGACATGGCTAAAAATAGAACATAGGGGTAAAATGCAGTTTTTGGCTTACATCTCTGAAACTAAAGCATTTAGAGCAAATCTGATTGGGTAATAATGTTCATCAGGTTAAGATCTATCCGCCTCTAAATTTTCAGACGAATCCCACAACCCGTTGTTGGGTTGCTGCCCCATAATTGGTAATTTGAAGGAAATTTTGCAGTTTTTGGTTATTATCTTGAATATTATTATAGATAGAGATAAACTGTAAACAGCAATCATGTTCAGCAAAATTTGATCTACAAATAAGTCAGCATGACCAAAATTGTCAGTCGACCCCTTAAGGAGTTATTGCCCTTAATAGTCAATTTTTAACAATTTTTTGTAAATTTTTGTAATCTTTTACAAAAATCTTCTTCTCTGAACCTGCTGAGACAAATTCAACCAAACTTGGCCATTATCATCATTAGGGTACATAGTTTAAAAAATGTGTCTGGTGACCCCGCCTTCCAACCAACATGGCCCACTTGGCTAAAAATAGAACATAGGGGTAAAATGCAGTTTTTGGTTTATATCTCTGAAACTAAAGCAATTAGAGCAAATCTGACAGGTGGCAAAAATGTTCATCAGATTTAGATTTATCTGCCCTGAAATTTTCAGACGAATCCGACAACCCGTTGTTGGATTGCTGCCCCTGAGATAGTAATTTTAAGGAAATTTTGCAGTTTTTTGTTATCTTAGATATCATGAAAGTATCTAATAATATCTTATACTATAAATAATGATTTTAACCTTATTTTACATGATTTCCAAAGCATCAGTAAATACAGGTGAGCGACACAGGCTCTAAAGAGCCTCTAGTTTTATGTGTGTGTCCACAGTATAGAAGTTAGATAGAGAAACTGTTAATAGTAAAAATTACCAGTAAAATAAGATCCACAAATAAGTTGACATTGTCATTGCTTTATGTGGGGCAAGTGTATCATTCAGTCAGCATAACTCTCAGTAGCTCCAGTAAAGTCAGAGCTCCAGATAAGCTGCGAACTTGCGTGGTCACGCAATAAAAACAATTGAAAACCCAATGCAATTGACTATTGCAGCGTTCAGAAACCCAATTCATGCAAAGGAAAACCCAATTATATATGAAAACCATGGGTTCTCAACCCTTCTGGTCTTTTTCCTGTGTGTAATTTACCCTTATCTATACATTATCGTCGCGTAAATCTATTTTTATACGACCGCAAAAAATTTTTTGGGATCGTATAATGGTATGATGTCGTCGTCTGCGTCGTCGTCCGAAGACACATTGGTTTCCAGACAATAACTTTAGTTTAAGTGAATGGATCTCTATGAAATTTTTTAAGAAGGTTCAATACCACTAAAGGAAGGTTGGGATTCATTTTAGGGGTTATGGGGCCAACAGTTTAGGAATAAAGGGCCAAAAAGGGGCCAAAAAACAAGCATTTTTCTAGTTTCCAGACAATAACTTGTGTGTAAGTGTATGGATCTCTCTGACATTGTACCGCAAGGTTCCATATAACAAATGGAAGGCTGGGATTGAGTTTGGGGTTAATTGCCCCAAACGTAGGAATTAGGGGCCCAAAAGGGGCCCAAAAGAAGCATTTTTCTAGTTTCAGGATAATAACTTGTGTATAAGTATTTTGATTGCTCTGGAATTGTACCACAATGTTTAATACCACAAGTAGAAGGTTGGGATTCATTTTAGGGGCTATGGGGCTAACAGTTGAGGAATAAAGGGCCAAAAAACAAGCATTTTTCTAGTTTCCAGACAATAACTTGTGTGTAAGTGTATGGATCTCTCTGACATTGTACCACAAGGTTCCATATAACAAATGGAAGGCTGGGATGGAGTTTGGGGTTAATTGCCCCAAACATGTAGGACTTAGGGGCCAAAAAAGGGCCAAAAAGAAGCATTTTTCTAGTTTCCAGACAATAACTTGTGTTTAAGTGTATGGATCTCTCTGAAATTGTACTACAAGGTTCCATACTACAAAGGAAAGGCTGGGATTTAGTTTAGGGGTTATTGCTCCAAGGGGGGTTTCAATAAGTTGAAAAGGGGGGGGGGATTTTTTGTTTACAATTTTTTTTAAGGGATTCATATTTTTTTTTCAAAATTTTTCAAATTTTGAATTTTTGAAAAGTTTCAAGAAGAAATCTTTAATTGCACAGTATTGTGCAATAGATTTGTCAGATCTTTGGCCACATTTATTTGGTGTCAAAAACCTATATTATGTCAAAAATTTGATCACAATCCTAATTCAGACAGTATCAAGCTTGAATATTGTGTCCAAATTTGCCCCAACTGTTCAGGGTTCGACCTCTGCGGTTGTATCAGGCTGCACTCAGCGAAGCATTTTATTGTAATATTTATAACTGGAAATCTTCTTTCGTTCTGAAAATAGAGTTACATCAAATAGTTGATCTGGGTCCCTGTTGAAATTGTCTTGTGCTCAAAAAGGTAAACGTGCTGATGTAAATAGATTTTGATCTTCTCTGTGTTTATCAAATGCAAGTAAGTGATCATAATTATTTTGGTATTGCTCTGGATTTATGACAATGAATGAATTAAAACGAAAGTAAATTTCCGGTAAAAATATTGAATAGAAGCATGTTTTCAGCTTCTTTTTGATAGCTGAGGGATAGTTATGATAACTAGAGTCAGCTAGTGTTATCAGGAAGCGTTCCTCGGACGCTCAGGTTCAAGCATAGTTCGTCCAGACAGAAAACCATGCGTCCAGGGCGTCTTTACGCGCCTTAACGAGAATATTGTTAGTATGACAAACACGGGTTTCCTCTCCATATGACTCATCAACGGTGCAACAATAAAATCAGTTGGAACAATGAAACGCCAATTAAACGTCATTAAACCACCCCTGGTCGTATCCTTAACCTGGTCGTTCCAGTCAAGATTTTATGGTGTATCTTAATCCAACTATTTTTTTTAAGTAGGTCTGGCGAACAGTTGATAGGACTGGCAAAACTTTCTTACAGGATCCAATGTTCTCAAGTACTACATAGAAATCTAAAAACTTAGCCACACCTACCCCAAATAAACCGAAGGGTGATCGCAAGTGCTCTAGAAAGGTAATTAGTTACTGCCCCACTAGTGGCACCAGTTTATATAAATTTGAGAGAAAATACAAAACGGGCTGAACAGTTAAAACAAACCAGACTCAAATTAAACGAACAATTGCTCATCAAGGTATAAACCAAATAAAACAGCCATCACATATAATGAAAGAAACATATTCAAATCATGGATGAACATCTTGGTTTGATATATAACTTCATTATAACATGCTTAAATTCAATATCTTGATGATGAAAAAACCCAATACATTAAAGAGCTTGGTGATGAAAAACCCAATTTGATATTTATTTGAGGGGTGAATTGGAGTTAATAATGCAATTGAAAAAAACTATTTCACTCAATTACATAAAAAATAATGGGTAAAAACCCCAATTTGTGAATTCTTATCTGGAGCTCTGAGTAAAATTTAAATTTTAGCACCCTATTTCAGTAATTCAGTAATACAACCTTGTTCCAGTCAAAACGTTTTTTTTTTTATCTTTATACACTGGGTTATATTCTTGACATGAAGGTGATGTACCATAATACTGTGTGTAATGCCGAAACCGTCAATATAAGTTCATTGATGCCATGAATCTATGAATAATTTTGAGTCAGAAAAAAGGACCCAAACTTTCAAGTCATCTCAAAAAGACCAAAATTGTATGAAAAAATTTCTGGATCCTTGTGTGAAGCATATCATCATGACCTTCATGTAACCTTGACATTTGACATTAAATTAAAAAATCTTGGGTTTTTTTTCTTGCATATATTTTATTGGTAAAGAGTAGTAAAATGAATCAACTTGCAAGCAACTGTATAAACTAATCTGGTCAAAAGATGTGAGATATATATAGTATAGTAATGGAATTTTATCTTGACCTGCATTTATATTTGTGGAAACGAATATTATTTTCATGGTACCCTAAATAAACTACTATCTCTACAGTTTTTTCCTGCTCCGGTTTCTGTGGGAAACAAATTAATTAATAATAGAAACCAATTGATATTGTTTCCTGGACAGGAAGAAGTGATTCATCACAACAATCTAGAAATATTTGGCATCCTTAAATTATCATGTTAGTTTGAAGTATGCTTATTATATGTATTATTGTTGATTAATTAGATAAATTTGATAAAACCATTGTTCACTACCAGATATTTTAAAGCATCTTGGCATAGAGGAAAATTTACGATATCTTGTTGCTAAAATTCATGACCTCAGAGTAAAATTTCATTTCTACTGTGCAATGAACTGCCACGGTAACTATTGAACTACGTTACCCAAAGCTAAATGCTTAAAAGAGAAAACTGTGTGTAACATTTTTGTAGCATTAATTGATTGATGTGATGTTTTTAGGTGGTATCATGGTTGTCTTGGGCGACAGAAAGCAGAAGAAAGATTGAGAACTGCAGGAGAAGTGGGATGTTACCTTGTTCGTGAAAGTGAAAGTAACAAAGGATCATATGTGTTGTCATATCTAGGGAAAAATGGAATGACTCATTTCAAGTAAGTGTTTATTGTTTAACCAGAGGTGCACTGTATGTGTTCAGACAGTGAGACAGGTTATATATAGCTGTTCTCTGGTGTTTAAGGTACAGTCTAAATTGTCGTATATAGGTAATTACTAACCCGTTAGGGCTGTTATTCCTGCTGACATGAAGCAGAGATGTTTCATTTTATGCTCAGCACTATGTGCAATTTTTGGTGAAGAGTCAGAATTATGCATGTTTCAAAAAGAAAAAAAATAATGAGATATATGAAAAAATATTACTCTGAAGTATACATGCATGTGATTAGACAGAGTTTAGAACCACCTTTCACAAACAAACATGTAAGAATGTTACATTGCCACTTGTATTTGACCAAGTGTCAGGTAGTGTGTATTGGGGAAGTCTTGTTTTACATTTCAGAACAGTTTCTGTTTATCATCATGATTTTCTGATTATGACTAATATGTTCTTCCTCTTCTAAGGATGAAGAATTTATATCAGTAGGATATGTTTACACTTATATTGCTGTAATTTTAGCCTCCTTTGATAATCTTGTGAAATGAAGACTTATAAGTACATGTATATATTGTTATACTTTCAGGATTTCAGCATATTGTGGTGATTATTACATTGGTGGGAGGCGCTTTGACTCTCTGTCACTCCTGATAGGTTACTACACATCAGTTTCATACTTACTAAAGGAGGAACAACTTAAATCTCCTGTGGAACCACCTGAGGTAAATGCTTGTAGAACTGGTTGAAATCTAAATTGCCTCTATGATCAGCGACTGCTATAGAAAATCTCAATCTAAATGAACTTAAAACATATCATTGACAGCTGAAATTCATATTTTTTTTACATGTTCCTACTAATGATGTTTTTAAGCCATACAATACAATTGTCAAAATATTTGCATGAGCATGTTTACAAAAAGAGAAAAATTAAATTGAAGTATGCACATTTTTTTTCATCATCAGTAACAACTGCTGCTGAAGGTGGAACATAGGTATATAAATTTGACAGAAATAGCACCTTAAAATATGTGTACAAAGATAAGTATTCCAGAAAATATTCAATTATAAATTGCCCAAAACAATAAAAAATTGATTCAGCTTGACTTTTTTTCCCATCTTTGTTTTGACAGTAAGAACTCCTCATGTCCCTTGTATGACCAGAAAAGAGTGTAAACTTGTTCTAGGCAAAAATGTCTAGGTCAGAAAATCCACTAAAATTGATACCCACTTTTGTTGTCCTTTTCATCCAAACTCCAGGCTTACAAGAATGAAATTTTTCAGGTCATGACCAGCCATAATTCTACATTGTAAATTCTATTCAATGAGTTTTCAAAACTAAATGTCTTCATTGATATTATTGCAAGTTCCCAACAGTGTCAAAAATATAGATTACGGTATGATTTCATAATTGTATAGTACTTGCTTTAGTTATTTGATGCAGTATTAGGTCTTGTTTGTTTTTTACAATTAGATATAATGTAAAAAATGGATATAAAATATAATTTGTAAAACATACATGTAACATCTTTGGAAAGGGCATATTGTACCTAAACATTGTTTCTAAAATGTCAATTGGTCTTATCCAAAATGAATGGAAATTTTTAACAATGAATAGGGGTAACAGTGGATGTAATGATGAATTAGAATTAAATACTCAGATTTATAATCTTGCTTTTGTAGCCGGTTGATGATAAGAGGAAAGTAGTCGCTATCTATCCCTTTTCTAAAATGCCAGAAACAGATGAACTCAGGTACAGTTTAGTATGTTATTAAACAATGTGTTATAAATAGCTGCAATCATGACTAATTTTTTTTAGGAAGATTAGAACTGTTGATGACACATAGAGATTACAATCTTGCATCAATGCCGTAATTTATGTGTATTAAGCTTTATATTTCAGATGGTAGAAGACTTGGAGGCTTCATACCTTGTATACAGATGCCTTATTTCACAATTTTTTGTCTGTCATATGCCCATTGTCCTTGACCTCATTTTCAGCAACTTCTTGAAAAAAAAGTTTAGTTTGTCATGGAAATTTCTCACTTATTATGAGTAATAGGATAACTATATTGGGTATATGGATTCCTTGCACGGTCTATATATCCGTCAGACAAGGTTTACCTGCCCATCCACCTCATTTCATAGATCAGTGATCAAGGTTAAAGTTACGTGATTAAGTCTGTTTGTGAGATACTGAAAGGACTGGCAGGTTTTATCTGTCCTTGACCTAATTTTCATGGTTCATTGGTCAATGCTAAGTTTTTAACTTGATTTCCAAAGGAAAATATTGGTTATTAATTTGGTGATGTATGGCGGGCAGGCGGCTGCCAAACAGTGTCCGTTCAATAACTCGAAAACGCTTTGTCAAAATCTTTTCAAATTTATATACATGTATGTTGTTTCCTGTGACTAAATGAAGGTCAAGTTCAATTTTCACAATTTTAGCTTGTATCATTATTGAGTTGTAGACTAAGTAGCAAAAAGTGATACTTAGAGGTTTGTCCGTGAAATACATGTAACTTGAAAACGCTTTGACAAAATCTTTTCAAATTTGGATATATTGTTTCCTGTAACTAAATGAAGGTCAAGTTCTATATTATACGATTTTTGCTATTTATCTAAAAATAGGAAGATGTGGTATGATTGCCAATGAGACAACTCTCCACAAGAAACCAAATGACACAGAAATTAACAACTATAGGTCACCGTACAGCCTTCAACAATGAGTAAAACCCATACGGCATAGTCAGCTTTAAAAGGCCCAGAAATGACAAATGTAAAACAATTCAGACGAGAAACCTAACGGCCTGATTTATGTACAAAATAATCAATGAAAAACAAATATAAAATACAGCAACAAATGACAACCACTGAATTACAGGCTCCTGACTTGGGACAGGCACATACAGAATGTGGCAGGGTTAAACTAGTTTGAAGGTGCCAACCCTCCCCTAACCTGGGACAGTGGTGTAACAGTACAACATAAGAACAAACTATTAAAATCAGTTGAAAAGGGCTTAACTCACCAGATGGATACAAAGCAGAAATACATCTAACAAAAACACAGAGTGGACGTGGCAGGGTACTTATATATCCCCACAACAATAAGACACTAAGTACAGATCTGATAGTACTCACAGTTACTGACAGCTAGTTCAAAGTCAATAACAACTAATACAAAAAAAAATCACGCATCTAAGACTAAAATATCAATCAGTACACATCCAACATCCAATGGATGTAGTGTAAAGATGTCATTAACAGTCAGAGAAAAACATGACCTTGTGCAATGCCAAGATAGATTGATTTTGGCCTTTCCATTTCTGAACCCTACAAGAATTCATTTATTTGTTTACTTGATCCTGTAAGGTGTCTAGATTTGCAAATAGCATTTTCATGCAGAAAATCCAGTTTGCTGTCAATTTGACAGCCTCTTATTGTGTTTTGGTCTGTTTTTTAATACTATAAGCAATAAGTCAACTATAATTAGTTTATGGAATGATTGTAAGGTGAACATGTCAGTCTGGTAGGTTTCAGCTTAACGTTGACCACATTTTCCAAGGTTCATTGGTCAATGTTGATTTATTTTTGTTGTCTATTTTTCTAACACTATAAGCAAAAGGTCAACCATATTTGGTGTATGGAATGATTGTTAGGTTTACATGTCTGTCTGGCAAGTATCATTTGTCCTTGACCTCATTTTCATGGTTCATTGTTCAATGTTTAATTTCAGTTGTTAGGTCCTCTTCTAAGATACTATAATCAATTGGTCAACTATATTTGGTGTATGGAATGAGTTTAAGATGTACATGTCTGTCTGTCAGGGTTCATCTGACCTTGACCTCATTTTCATGGATACAATGTTAAGTTTATGTGATACTTGAGGTAAAACTTTATCTTTACTTTAGGAATTTCAACATCACATCAATCATGGTTAGTAAAGCAGGCGAGACATTTCAGCGTGTGCACTCTTGTTCTTCTAACCATATCTAATCCATAAGTGATATCGATCAGTTTGATTCAACATGGTCACCATTCAGGCAACTAGAAATTTTTCCTCTGAAATCTTTTTTAGAAATAATAATGAATTATCATGCTGTTGTTTGTATTTATAGTCTTGCTGGATTTTGTCATTCAATCAGTTTGAGTTACTGAGACCTTGAATCTAATTAACATTTTTACAAGAATTTGTTAATTCAATAGCTACCTGACAATAACCAGAACAAATAGATGCTATTTCTTGAAGAAAAAAAGCTTCTTTCAAAGTTTAGTAACATTCCATGATGAGAATAGCTATTGAAATCCATCTATCAGTATAGAAGATACATAACTTACCAAATGAAGAATGTTTTTCAGTAAAATTTTCACTTATTTTATTATAAAAAAATAGTAAAGGGTTAATATTTTTTACTGTTGGTTTCCAGGATAACACCTTTCATAATTTTGTTCAGAGAAAAATATCTAAAATTATTTTTTTTTGCTATGTTTGAATATTTCAGTTTTGATAAAGGAGATGTTTTTACTGTGTTAAATGAGATGGGTAACTCCTGGTTATGGGTGAAGTCACAGACCACGGGAGAACATGGACAGATTCATGGAGCTTTAGTGGAAGATCTGGTAAAGAAAACATTCATATGTTAAAAGTTTTCTGCTTTTGTAGTATATAAACACTAAGAGAAAGTGAAAGTGGATTAACCTGATAGATATTTTGACGCTTCAAGTTGAAGTTTCCTATGTACATATTTTATTTTTGAGTTATCTCTCTTTGTTTAGAGTTCATAATAGAGGCAATGCTCAAAATTAATTGTGTTGTATAATGCAATCTGTTGTGATGACCAGTATACAATGTGATTACTGTCTTGCAACTAAAGGTATAAGGAAAATAAGGTTGGAGCATCAGTCCCAAGTCAAGTGCCTGTAATTCAGTGGTCATTGTTGGTTGCTGTCTGACATATTTGTTTTTTTGTTAATTGTTTTATCATAAATCAGACAGTTGGTTTTCTTGTTTTAGATTTCATAGTGTCTGGGCCTCATAGCTGAATGCAGTATGAGTATTGCTCATTGTTGAAGGCTGTGTAATGACCTATACTATAGTTGCTTACATTAAAGTCATGACTTGTTTGTATGTTAAAATTAGCTTAAGGATCAAAATTTAGTCATTCAGTGATTGGTTTTGAATAAATTTATAGTACTGTTTAGACTCAAAATTGTACCTTTTTAGCTCACCATTTAGGGGTAAAATTTTTGTTTTGCCTATTATCTTGAAAACCACTATTAGTAGAGAAAATCTGACAGGGGCAGACATGTTTAGATTATTGAGATCTATCTTCTGTCTGTTTAAGTCAAAACTCTCAGACGACAACTTATATAGTTATAGCCCTTGAATATCAAATTTTATCATTTTTTTGCATTTTTATTTTGCGGTCGTATATTGGTATGACGTTGGTGTTGTCGTCCGAAGACACATTGGTTTTCGCACTCTAACTTTAGTTTAAGTGAATGGATCTCTATCAAATTTTACCATAAGGTTCAATACCACAAAAGGAAGGTGGGGATTGATTTTGGGGGTTATGGTACCAACAGTTAAGGAAAAAGGGGCCAAAAATAAGCATTTTTGTAACTTCCAGACATAACTTGTGTGTTAGTGTATGGATCTCTCTGACATTGTACCACAAGGTTCCATATCACTAAGGGAATGCTGGGATTGATTTTGGGGGTATTTGCCTCCAAATATTAGGAATTAGGGGCCAAAAAGGGGCAAAAAACAAGCATTTTTCTAGTTTCATGACAATAACTTGTGTGTAAGTGTATGGATCTTTATGAAATTGTACTACAAGGTTCCATATCACAAAGGGAAAGCTGGAATTGAGTTTGGGGGTAATTGCCCAAAACGTTTAGGAATAAGGGGCCAAAAATAAGCATTTTTCTAGTTTCCAGACAATAACTTGTGTTCAAGTGTATGGATCTCTCTGAAATTGTACTGCAAGGTACCATACCGCAAAGGGAAGGCTGGGATTGATTTTGGGGGTAATTCCCTTAAAATTTTAGGAATTAGGGACCATAAAAGGGCTAAAAAAACAAGCATTTTTCTAGTTTCAGGACAATAACTTGTGTGTAAGTGTATGGATCTTTATGAAATTTTACTGCAAGGTTCCATATCACAAAGGGAATGCTGGGTTTGAGTTTGGGGGTAATTGCCCTAAACGTTTAGTAATTTGGGGCCAAAAAGGGGCCAAAAAACAAGCATTTTTCTAGTTTCCAGACAATAACTTGTGTTCAAGTTCTTAAACCACATTCATTCTGTGTCAGAAACCTATGCTGTGTCAAATATTTAATTACAATCCAAATTCAGTGCTGTATCAAGCTTGAATGTTGTGTCCATACTTGCCCCAACTGTTCAGGGTTCGACCTCTGCTGTGGTATCAAGCTGCGCCCCAGCAGAGCATTTTATTGTCTATTATTTTGAAAACTATAAAAGATAAAGAAAAATTTTAGTAGGAAAAATGATTAGCAAGACCAGATTTACAAATAAGTCAACATGGCTGAAATCATCAGATGACTCCTTGTTGGAGTTATTGCTCTTTAATGACAATTTTTGCCATTTTTTTTTTTGCATTTTTATTTCATATCTTAAAAACTATAATAGATAGAAAGAAACTTCCAATAGCAAAAATGATCAACAAGTCAAGATCTACAAGGAAGTCAATCATGACGGAAATTTTCAGTTGACTCCTTTTTGAAGTTATTTCCCTTTAATGATGATTTTCCCCATTTTTTTGCATTTTTCACTAATATTTTAAAAACTATAACAGAGAGATAGAAACTTTATTTAGCAAAAATTATCAGCAAGACAAGATCTACAAATATGTCTATATTACTGAAATTGTCAGTTAAGGTTATTACCCTTTCCTGATAATTTTTACCAAAAAATGGCTATTGTTGAAGATGCAGGTGAGTGACACAGGCTCTTTAGAGCCCCTAAATTTTTCTTATTGACATTTTCATCTATCAGTGTTTTTATAGCATTTGTATCGAAGTAAATTTAACCATTATGAAAAAAAATTAGTAATGCAATGTACTGCCAGATGTGGTATGCATCTGATGAATAGATGAAAAATGCTGTAGCATTTTCAGATTATTGAATTTATCTTTTAGAACGGAAATATTGATCCAGACGAGAGTTTGTGCTATTTTCATCCAAATGTTACAAAAGAAGATGCAGTGGAAAAGCTGAGACAAGGTAATGTATCCACCAGGAAAAGCTAAGACAAGGTAATGTCAACATGAATGTATCCACGTGGATAAAAGTTACTATTATTGTCAGTATTTGACTTAATGCATCTTTCAACATCTTGTGCAATTGTAGATGGTATAATTCACTTAGAACATGAATTATTGAATGGAACAAACTGGGTATTTAGGGCTTTTCCAGAAATACAATCAAATCTGCAAAGGACACTCAATAAATAACATATTAGTACCTTTTAAGACGGGTGCCCTTAAGCATTGTTCAAAGGGCCAAATTGACTCCTCTGTCACATCCCATATTTTATGGAACATCCCTAATCTACTTTGAAAAAATTGAATAAAGTAAATAACAAAAAAGAAATTTTTGGCAAATAAAAAGCCATATATATATATGGAAAATAAAAAAAGCTAGACATAATTATATGACAAATTAAAAGCTAGACACCTATGAGAAATAAAAAGCTAGACAGGTATGACAAATAAAAAAGTGAGACATATACGGCAAATAAAAGGCTAGACATATATGGAAAATAAAATCCAGGTAGGTATGGCAAATAAAAAGCTAGCTATATATTGTATAAAATAAAAAGCCAACTAGGTATGGCAAATTAATAGCTAGACAGATATGACAAATACAAAGCCTTGCAGATATGACAAATAAAAAGCTAGTCAGCTATGATATAAAATGAAAAGCCAGGCAGATATGGTAATTAAAAAGCTAGACAGATATGGCAAATTAAAAGCTAGACATACGACAAATATGAAGCTAGACAGATATGGCAAATAAAAAGCTAGTCAAATATGGAAAATGAAAAAACAGGGCAGATATGGCAAATACACAGCTAGGCAGATGTGGCAAATAAAAAGCTAATCAGATATGACAAATTAAAAGCTAGACAGATATGGCAAATAAACAGCTATGCAGATATGGCCAATAAATATTACTTATTACTCGTGATATTTGTGTTGCAACATTATAGATAATGAGAAAATATGTGTTTTATAATAGGAGGACAAGGTAGTTTTTTAGTCAGACCTAGTGAGAACTCACCAGGAAATTATTCATTATTTGTACTTTGTGACAAGATAGTACAAAGGTTTAGGATAGAAAAACACGAGAGACAATTACTAATGGGAGGAAGATACTTTGACAGGTTTGTGTTTTGTGCTTTATTTATTAAAGATGGACATTTTCATATGCCATGTACTGCTAATAAATCTAAGAGGAAAGCTTTGTTAATTTTTTTTATTTTGAAACAGAATTGGTTGAAAAAACCCACTGGAAAATTACTTTTCTGTGAAGGATAAAAAAAAGTTAAGCTTTAACACCTATCATAAGAATAATGGCCTTCATTGCTTTAGGGTTCACTGTACTTTAGTATTTATAAGTCTTAGTTTAAGGATTTTTTAGGTTATAGGGCTTAGTTAAAGGATTTTTTATACGACCGCAAAAAAATTTTTGTGGTCGTATATTGGTATGACGTTGGCGTCGTCGTCGTCGTCCGAAGACACATTGGTTTTTGCACTCTAACTTTAGTTTAAGTGAATGGATCTTTATGAAATTTTACCACAAGGTTCAATACCAGAAAAGGAAGGTTGGGATTGATTTTGGGGGTTATGGTAATAACAGTAAAGGAATTAGGGGCCAAAAAGGGGCCAAAAATAAGCATTTTTGTAACTTCCAGACATAACTTGTGTGTTAGTGTATGGATCTCTCTGACATTGTACCACAAGGTTCCATATCACTAAAGGAATGCTGGGATTGATTTTGGGGGTAATTGCCTCCAAATTTTAGGAATTAGGGGCCAAAAAAGGGGCAAAAACAAGCATTTTTCTAGTTTCATGACAATAACTTGTGTGTAAGTGTATGGATCTTTCTGAAATTGTACTACAAGGTTCCATATCACAAAGGGAAAGCTGGGTTTGAGTTTGGGGGTAATTGCCCTAAACGTTTAGGAATTTGGGGCCAAAAAGGGGCCAAAAAACACATTTTTAGCTCACCTGACCTGAAAGGTCAAGTGAGCTTTTCTCATCACTTTGCGTCCGTCGTCCTGCGTCCGTCGTCCGTCGTCCGTCGTCCGTAAACTTTTACAAAAATCTTCTCCTCTGAAACTACTGGGCCAAATTTAACCAAACTTGGCCACAATCATCATTGGGGTATCTAGTTTTAAAAATGTGTGGCGTGACCCTGTCATCCAACCAAGATGGCCGCCACGGCTAAGAATAGAACATAGGGGTAAAATGCAGTTTTTAGCTAATAACTCAAAAACCAAAGCATTAAGAGCAAATCTGACATGGGGTAAAATTGTTCATCAGGTCAAGATCTATCTGCCCTGAAATTTTCAGATGAATCGGACAACCCGTTATTGGGTTGCTGCCCCTGAATTGGTAATTTTAAGGAAATTTTGCTGTTTTTGGTTATTATCTTGAATATTATTATAGATAGAGATAAACTGTAAACAGCAATAATGTTCAGCAAAGTAAGATTTACAAATAAGTCAATATAACCGAAATGGTCAGTTGACCCCTTTAGGAGAAATTGCCCTTTATAGTCAATTTTTAACCATTTTTCGTAAATCTTAGTAATCTTTTACAAAAATCTTCTCCTCTGAAACAACTGGGCCAAATTAAACCAAACTTGGCCACAATCATCATTGGGGTATCTAGTTTAAAAAATGTGTGGCGTGACCCGGCCAACCAACCAAGATGGCCGCCACAGCTAAAAATAAAACATAGGGGTAAAATGCAGTTTTTGGCTTATAACTCAAAAACCAAAGCATTTAGAGCAAATCTGACATGAAGTAAAATTGTTTATCAGGTCAAGATCTATCTGCCCTGAAATTTTCAGATGAATCGAACAACCTGTTGTTGGGTTGCTGCCCCTGAATTGGTAATTTTAAGGAAATTTTGCTGTTTTTGGTTATTATCTTGAATATTATTATAGATAGAGATAAACTGTAAACAGCAATAATGTTCAGCAAAGTAAGATTAACAAATAAGTCAACATGACTGAAATGGTCAGTTGACCCCTTTAGGAGTTATTGCCCTTTATAGTCAATTTTTAACAATTTTTCGTAAATCTTAGTAATCTTTTACAAAAATCTTCTCCTCTGAAACTACGTGGCCAAATTAAACCAAACTTGGCAACAATCATCATTTGGTTATTTAGTTTTAAAAATGTGTGGCGTGACCTGGTCAACCAACCAAGATGGCCGCCTAGGCTAAAAATAGAACATAGGGGTAAAATTCAGTTTTTGGCTTTTAACTCAAAAACCAAAGCATTTAAAGCAAATCTGACATGGGGGTAAAATTGTTCATCAGGTCAAGATCTATCTGCCCTGAAATTTTCAGATGAATCGGACAACCCGTTATTGGGTTGCTGCCCCTGAATTGGTAATTTTAAGGAAATTTTGCTGTTTTTGGTTATTATCTTGAATATTATTATAGATAGAGATAAACTGTAAACAGCAATAATGTTCAGCAAAGTAAGATTTACAAATAAGTCAATATAACCGAAATGGTCAGTTGACCCCTTTAGGAGTAATTGCCCTTTATAGTCAATTTTTAACCATTTTTAGCTCACCTGACCTGAAAGGTCAAGTGAGCTTTTCTCATCACTTTGAGTCCGTCGTCCGTCGTCCGTAAACTTTTACAAAAATCTTCTCCTCTGAAACTACTGGGCCAAATTTAACCAAACTTGGCCACAATCATCATTGGGGTATCTAGTTTAAAAAATGTGTGGCGTGACCCGGCCAACCAACCAAGATGGCCGCCACAGCTAAAAATAAAACATAGGGGTAAAATGCAGTTTTTGGCTTATAACTCAAAAACCAAAGCATTTAGAGCAAATCTGACATGGGGTAAAATTGTTCATCAGGTCAAGATCTATCTGCCCTGAAATTTTCAGATGAATCGGACAACCCGTTATTGGGTTGCTGCCCCTGAATTGGTAATTTTAAGGAAATTTTGCTGTTTTTGGTTATTATCTTGAATATTATTATAGATAGAGATAAACTGTAAACAGCAATAATGTTCAGCAAAGTAAGATTTACAAATAAGTCAATATAACCGAAATGGTCAGTTGGCCCCTTTAGGAGTTATTGCCCTTTATAGTCAATTTTTAACCATTTTTCGTAAATCTTAGTAATCTTTTACAAAAATCTTCTCCTCTGAAACAACTGGGCCAAATTAAACCAAACTTGGCCACAATCATCATTGGGGTATCTAGTTTAAAAAATGTGTGGCGTGATCCGGCCAACCAACCAAGATGGCCGCCACAGCTAAAAATAAAACATAGGGGTAAAATGCAGTTTTGGCTTATAACTCAAAAACCAAAGCATTTAGAGCAAATCTGACATGAAGTAAAATTGTTCATCAGGTCAAGATCTATCTGCCCTGAAATTTTCAGATGAATCGAACAACCTGTTGTTGGGTTGCTGCCCCTGAATTGGTAATTTTAAGGAAATTTTGCTGTTTTTGGTTATTATCTTGAATATTATTATAGATAGAGATAAACTGTAAACAGCAATAATGTTCAGCAAAGTAAGATTAACAAATAAGTCAACATGACTGAAATGGTCAGTTGACCCCTTTAGGAGTTATTGCCCTTTATAGTCAATTTTTAACAATTTTTCAAAAAATCTTAGTAATCTTTTACAAAAATCTTCTCCTCTGAAACTACGTGGCCAAATTAAACCAAACTTGGCCACAATCATCATTTGGTTATCTAGTTTTAAAAATGTGTGGCGTGACCTGGTCAACCAACCAAGATGGCCGCCACGGCTAAAAATAGAACATAGGGGTAAAATTCAGTTTTTGGCTTTTAACTCAAAAACCAAAGCACTTAAAGCAAATCTGACAGAAGTAAAATTGTTTATCAGGTCAAGATCTATCTGCCCTGAAATTTTCAGATGAATCGGACAACCCGTTGTTGGGTTGCTGCCCCTGAATTGGTAATTTTAAGGTAATTTTGCTGTTTTTGGTTATTATCTTGAATATTATTATAGATAGAGATAAACTGTAAAAAACAATAAATGTCGGCAAAGTAAGATCTACAAATAAGTCAACATGACCGAAATTGTCAGTTGACCCCTTTAGGAGTTATTGCCCTTTATAGTCAATTTTTAACCATTTTTTCTTAAATCTTAGTAATCTTTTACAAAAATCTTCTCCTCTGAAACTACTGGGCCAAGTTAATTATAGATAGAGATAATTGTAAGCAGGAAAAATGTTCAGTAAATTAAGATGTACAAACACATCACATCACTAAAACACAATTTTGTCATGAATCCATCTGCGTCCTTTGTTTAATATTCACATAGACCAAGGTGAGCGACACAGGCTCTTTAGAGCCTCTAGTTCGTAAATCTTAGTAATCTTTTACAAAAATCTTCTCCTCTGAAACAACTGGGCCAAATTAAACCAAACTTGGCCACAATCATTATTTGGTTATTTAGTTTTAAAAATGTGTGGCGTGACCTGGTCAACCAACCAAGATGGCCGCCACGGCTAAAAATAAAACATAGGGGTAAAATTCAGTTTTTGGCTTTTAACTCAAAAACCAAAGCATTTAAAGCAAATCTGACATGAAGTAAAATTGTTTATCAGGTCAAGATCTATCTGCCCTGAAATTTTCAGATGAATCGGACAACCCGTTGTTGGGTTGCTGCCCCTGAATTGGTAATTTTAAGGTAATTTTGCTGTTTTTGGTTATTATCTTGAATATTATTATAGATAGAGATAAACTGTAAAAAAACGATAAATGTCGGCAAAGTAAGATCTACAAATAAGTCAACTTGACCGAAATTGTCAGTTGACCCCTTTAGGAGTTATTGCCCTTTATAGTCAATTTTAACCATTTTTTCGTAAATCTTAGTAATCTTTTACAAAAATCTTCTCCTCTGAAACTACTGGGCCAAGTTAATTATAGATAGAGATAATTGTAAGCAGGAAAAATGTTCAGTAAATTAAGATGTACAAACACATCACCATCACCAAAACACAATTTTGTCATGAATCCATCTGCGTCCTTTGTTTGATATTCACATAGACCAAGGTGAGCGACACAGGCTCTTTAGAGCCTCTAGTTTTCTAGTTTCCAGACAATAACTTGTGTTCAAGTGTATGGATCTCTCTGAAATTGTACTGCAAGGTACCATACCACAAAGGGAAGGCTGGGATTGAGTTAGGGGGTGATGAATCATAATGGGGGTTCAAAAAATTTTGGGGGGGGATTTATTTTTTTTTCATTTTTTTTCTTTTTTTCCTTTTTTGTTTCTTTTAAAATTTTCCATTTTAAGTTGGTTATTTCTGATTTATATTTAAAATCAAATAATAATGATATGGTAGGAGATACACACCAAACAGGATGTGTAAATTATTATATAATAAGTATTGTGCAATAGCAAGAAATTTTCAATTGCACAGTATTGCACAATAGCAAGAAATCTTCAATTGCACAGTATTGCGCAATAGCAAGAAATCTTCAATTGCACAGTATTGCGCAATAGCAAGAAATATCCAATAGCACAATATTGCGCAATAGCAAGAAATTGTCAATTGTACAGTATTGCGCAATAGCAAGAAATATTTAATAGCACAGGATTGTGCAAAAGAAGATACTTCCTATAAATTGCTTATTTCTTGACCAATTTCAATGGGGTTTTATTCTTGATTTCATGGGGTTCTTTAATATGCTGAATCTAACCGTGTATTTAGTTTTTGGATTTTGGGCCCCGTTTTTAAATTGGTCCACATTGAGGTCCAAAGGGTCCAAAATTAAACTTTGTTTGATTTCATCAAAAATTGAATATATGGGGTTCTTTGATATGCCGAATCTAACTGTGTATTTAGATTCTTAATTTTTGGTTCCGTTTTCAAATTGGTCTACATTAAGGTCCAAAGGGTCCAAAATTAAACTTAGTTTGATTTTAACAAAAATTGAATTCTTAGGGTTCTTTGATATGCTGAATCTAAACATGTATATAGATTTTTGAATATGGGCCCAGTTTTCAAGTTGGTCCAAATCGGGGTCCAAAATTAAACTTTGTTTGATTTCAACAAAAATTGAATATATGGGGTTCTTTGATATGCTGAATCTAACCATGTATTTAGATTTTTGATTTTTGGGCCCCGTTATCAACTTTGTCCACATTGAGGTCAAAAGGGTCCAAAATTAAACTTTGTTTGATTTCATCAAAAATTGAATTATTGGGGTTCTTTGATATGCCGAATCTAACCATGTATTTAGATTCTTAATTTTTGGTTCCGTTTTCAAATTGGTCTACATTAAGGTCCAAAGGGTCCAAAATTAAACTTAGTTTGATTTTAACAAAAATTGAATTCTTAGGGTTCTTTGATATGCTGAATCTAAACATGTATTTAGATTTTTGATTATGGGCCCAGTTTTCAAGTTGGTCCAAATCAGGGTCCAAAATTAAACTTTGTTTGATTTCAACAAAAATTGAATATATGGGGTTCTTTGATATGCTGAATCTAACCATGTATTTAGATTTTTGATTTTTGGGCCCCGTTATCAACTTTGTCCACATTGAGGTCAAAAGGGTCCAAAATTAAACTTTGTATGATTTCATCAAAAATTGAATTCTTGGGGTTCTTTGATATACTGAATCTAACCATGTATTTAGATTTTGGATATTGGACCATAATAGGTGAATGTCCAATTTAAAATTTTAAGTTCTTAGATTACATTCAATCTGTGTTAGAAACCTATGCTGTGTCAAATATTTAATCACAATCCAAATCCAAAGCTGTATCAAGCTTGAATGTTGTGTCCATACTTCCCCCAACTGTTCAGGGTTCGACCTCTGCGGTCGTATCAAGCTGCGCCCTGCGGAGCATTTTATTAGGTTATGGTTAGGTTTTAGTGTTAAATTAGCATACACTGGAAACACATGTACTTGTTTATTATCATTATACATGAAAATGAATAGGACTTTCAGTTTCTTATTTGTTATTAGATATTTTATTATGTGGATTTTGTTTGTATTATTAAAAAGTATCAGTAAATGTTATAGTCTGACTGTTCTGTCAAAAATACACGTGTTTCTTAACAGCTTTTAAATTTTAAACATACAGTTTTAATATGGTAATGCTTAATGAGAAAAATAAGAAGAAACAACTACTGTAAAACAACTTATTTTCGCGAGCGATTTATTTTCGCGACTTTCGCAAATAGAAAAATAACGCGAATATGTAAAACTTGGATCTTTCCTTAATAAACAACATCAAGTAAATTAGAAATTGCAAAATTAAATAGCCGCGAAGTGGACTAATAACGGTAAAACGCGAAATAAAGTATCCACGAAAATAACTTGGTTTACAGTATTTGTTTAGTTCTGTAGATATGCACATCATGGGGAAATGTCTAGGAATTTAGCTGTACAATGTGCATTCTATAGAAAAAAATTATGAAATATGTAAACAAAAATTTGATAGGTTTAGAATTAGTTTGTAGCTTACAAAACCATGATTTACATGCAGCCCAATTCTTACAATATTTTAAAATTTATGCAACAAAATACTGCAATAAGAGAAAATACTAAACACTACAAAATTGCTATACAATGTAAATTTGTAGTAACTCACTCTTGGACAGGTATTAAGAGTGTTTCTATTTATTTAATAGTTTGGATGGTATTATAGAACGATACAAGAAAGAAGAAATCGTGGAGGGTTTTACACTAGTCACACCAGTAGTTAGGGTAAGAAACAATTCCATTTCTACTTCGACTACAAACTTGAAAATTCTTATACGAGTAGTTAGGGTAAGAAACAATTCCATTTCTACTTGGACTACAAACTTGAAAATTCTTATACGAGTAGTTAGGGTAAGAAACAATTCCATTTCTACTTGGACTACAAACTTGAAAATTCTTATACGAGTAGTTAGGGTAAGAAACAATTCCATTTCTACTTCGACTACAAACTTGAAAATTCTTATACGAGTAGTTAGGGTAAGAAACAATTCCATTTCTACTTGGACTACAAACTTGAAGATTCTTATGCCAGTAGTACGGGTAAGAAAGTATTACAATTTAACTATGGACTACAAACTAAAAAGTCGAATGTTTGTAACATTGATTATTATATGCCATATTATTATGTATATGTTGAAAATGGAAGTTATTTATGTAATTATTTAAAAGATTCAACTTTCTCAATAGCATTTTTGTTGAGTGAACAAGGCAAAAGTAAAAAAAAAATAATTATATTTTGAAGAACAAAACATACTTGTGAGGTGTACATCAAGGAGACAGCAACGCAACAGGGCAAATAATCAAAATACATTTGGTTTTCCGCTATAGAAAATAGTGTATAATACATCAAGCTCTAAATCTAAAAAAATATGGCAGATTGACAAGGATAAAGTTCTTCGTTTTATTTTCAAATTGTTGTTTCATTGTACAGGTGACAGGTCAGATGAAGAAGTCCCAGCTTGATGGTTCTGCAGATGACTTGTATGAATCTATTAGAAATACTTCGCAGGGTACCTTCATTGGAAGAACCAACAAGTTTGATTTCAAAGGATTCCTACATATAAGGAAAGGTAAAGTCAATTTTACATGCAGTTTGTTAGATAGAATAGAATGAGTCAATGTCCATTTTTGTTAAGGCTGCCACATTTTGTTGCCAAAAAGGAGACATAGACATTTTCTTGTCAAAATTATTAAAATAGGAAAAAAAGGACGAGAGAGATCCACCTGACTATTGACCTGATTTGGAGTTATCTTACACAGATATTTTTATGCCCCTGCCATAGCAGAGGGGCATTAAGTTTTACCCTTGTCCGTCTGTACGTCCCTATGTATGTCCGTCCCTACGTACGTCCCAAAATTGGTTTCTATTCTCTTACTTTAGTTTGCCTCAATCAAATGTTATGAAACTTATACACAATGCTTATTACCACAAACACAGATCAATTTTGAAATTTGGTGGCGTCACTTTTACCGTTCTAGAGTTATGCCCTTTTATAAATGGAAAAATTTGTTTCCATTCTTTAACTTCAGATTGCCTCAACCAAATATTATGAAACTTATACACAATGCTTATAAGACGAAACACAGATCAAGTTTGAATTTTGGTGGCGTCTCTTTTGCCGTTCTAGAGTTATGCCCCTCTACAAATGGAAAAATTACTGAATTTTTCGTTTCCATTCTCCTACTTTAGTTTGCCTCAACCAAATGTTATGAAACGTATACACAATGCTTATTACCACAAAACACAGATCAAGTTCGAATTTTGGTGGCATCACTTTTGCTGTTCTCGAGTTGTGCCCTCTACAAATGGAAAAATTGCTGAATTTTTCGTTTCCGTTCTCTTACTTTAGTTTGCCTCAACCAAATGTTATGAAACGTATACACAATGCTTATTACCACAAAACTCAGATCAAGTACAAATTTGGGTAGTGTCACTTTTACAGTTCTTGAGTTATATCCCTTTATAACATTATATGCAAGTGGGGGGCATCATCTGTGTCCCATGGACACATTCCTTATTTATTTTAAATGAAAACTTTTCAGGATTAAAATTTATATCAGTTAAAAAATTATTGTTTTTAAATTCCTTGACTTATTTATTGAGTATAGGTCCATATAAACATACCTGCTATATTTCACATATGGTTGCTTATTATGTAAACAACCTTCAATCCTGATCCTGCATCATGCAAAAAAACAGAAACTGCTTCCAACAGTTATTACATTTTAGTTTTATGTTCCTTAATTCATACTTTTTTTTTCAAACAAAAAACCCAATACCCTTATAAAGTTCAGGAATCTCTAAAATGTCATATATACATTATTTTTTTCTAAGTTAATACTATTTCAATCAGAATATTTATATTAACTTTAAAGATGTCAGATTCAGTAACAATTTTTCCGAATTTTAAGTTTTCCCAATCTGTTAATATTTTCATTAAACTATTGATCAATCAGTTAAATCATCTTTTGAATATATTATGATTTCTTGATTTCATTGACAAAATACTTAAAAATGATTGAAGTAAAACCAAAAATCTGTTCATGTTGTATATGTGCTTTTACTCTGTTCAGCAAGAAAAATACATTACTGTGGATTCATTAATATTCGTTGGATACCAATTTTCGTGGATTTCGTGGGTACAGTGGAACCACGAATTTAAATGTTCAACGAATTACAAGTTTTCTAAAGGAATGTATGCAGACTTTGCCAAAACAACGAAATCAAATATCCACGAAAATGCTAGTTTTCCACAATCCACGAAAATTGGAACCCACGAAAATAAATGAATCCACATTATATAATTTACAGGTACACAGAAGAAGAAGTGGAAGAATATGTTTTTTGTGTTAATTGGGAGTGAAAAACAACTGTGCTATCTAGAAAATGAAAAGGTTTGATGTATAATATAATTTATGCATAGATAGGAAATAACAAATGCACTAAACTGAATCGCTAAAATCAACACATTTTATCAGGTCAAAGTCCACTCTTAGGTATTTGTACATTGAAATTGAACAAACAGGATATTATAGTTCAACAAGTAGGACTTTGTCATAAATGTTGATAAATTATATAATATACTGTAAACCATCCTATTTTCACAGACAATTTTTGATCTCATTTAGCCCTTTCCTGTTGATATGCAACAATTTAGTTTCAAGATTGTTTTAAATTTGTTAGTGTATTCATGTAATAGTAGGACAAAGTTTCACCTTTGCTTCAATTTCATCTACAAAATGTGTTGGTTTACAGTATGCATTATAATTTAGGCAAGGTCATCTACAAAATTTTTTGGTTTACAGTATGCATTATACTTTAGGCAAGGTCATCTACAAAATGTGTTGGTTTACAGTATGCAATATACTTCATGCAAGGTCATCTACAAAATTTGCTGGTTTAAAGTATGCAATATACTTTAAGAAAGGTCATCTACAAAATTTGTTGGTTTACAGTATGCAATATACTTTAGGCAAGGTCATCTACAAAATGTGTTGATTTACAGTATGCAATATACTTAAGCCAAGGTCATCTACAAAATGTGTTGGTTTACAGTATGCATGATACTTAAGGCAAGGTCATCTACAAAATTTGTAGGTTTACAGTATGCAATATACTTTAGGTAAGGTCATCTACAAAATGTGTTGGTTTACAGTATGCATTATACTTCATGCAAGGTCATCTACAAAATTTGTTGGTTTACAGTATGCAATATACTTTAGGTAAGGTCATCTACAAAATGTGTTGGTTTACAGTATGCATTATACTTCATGCAAGGTCATCTACAATATTTTCTGGTTTATAGTATGCATTATACTTTAGACAAGGTCATCTACAAAATTTGTAGGTTTACAGTATGCATTATACTTCAGGCAAGGTCATCTACAAAATTTGTTGGTTTACAGTATGCATTATACTTTAGGCAAGGTTATCTACAAAATTTGTTGGTTTACAGTATGCATTATACTTTAGGCAAGGTCATCTACAAAATTTGTTGGTTTACAGTATGCATTTTACTTCAGGCAAGGTCATCTACAAAATGTGTTTGTTTACAGTATGCATTATACTTAAGGGAAGGTCATCTACAAAATTTGTAGGTTTACAGTATGCATTATACTTAAGGGAAGGTCATCTACAAAATTTGTAGGTTTACAGTATGCATTATACTTTAGGCAAGGTTATCTACAAAATTTGTTGGTTTACAGTATGCATTATACTTCATGCAATGTCATCTACAAAATTTGTTGGTTTACAGTATGCGTTATACTTCAGGCAAGGTCATCTACAAAATTTGCTGGTTTACAGTATGCATTATACTTTAGGCAAGGTCATCTACAAAATTTGTTGGTTTACAGTATGCAATATACTTTAGGCAAGGTCATCTACAAAATTTGAAATTGAGTTTATAATTTGAAATTAGATTTTCAATTTGTCTGTTCAAACAATGAAAAATTTTATGGAAAAATGTACAAAAAAGTGATCTCATTAATATCTGCTTTAAGTAGACAATACAACCACATAATGATGTTTTTTTTTTTTTCGTTTTCCAGAGATCTCGACCTAAAGGGTTGATAGACTTAAATTTCAGCTCACTATATCCAGTCCATGACAGCTTCTTTGGCAGGTATGACATGTATAAGATATGTAATTAAGGAATATAGTGAAACTCCTCTTAAGTACCAAAATGTCAGAAGAAAATTATACAATTAAAGGAATATCAATTATAAGTTAATACAATTTTATACATGATTTGTGTTTACACCATGTAGCAGGAGCCTTGGGAAAAGTTACCCTTTTATTCAAAATTAGTCTTCAGTTGTTTAAGTTTTATTGTAGTCTAAACATTCAGTTCCCCTTAAATGGTATCTTTACGATACAAGTAACAGGAATAATATAACAAATACTAGTGCAGAGGAAAAAGATGTAATCTTTACATTCCTTTGTCAGACTTCATCTTCAGGATGTATAAAACTGTTTCATGAACCACACATAATATGATGTTTAAATGTCCTCACCTATACAACAATTATTATTTAATTTCAGACCAAACTGTTTCCAGTTAATCACCAATGCCAACCCATACAACCATTTCCAGTTATATTATCTGTGTGCTGAGAATGGTGATGATGCACAGGTATGTTTAGTTCTGTGGAAAAGCATTCTATATACTGTATATCAAGTTATTTTTGTATCGGTTATGTTAGACATTAACTCAAAAACGCTTTAAATAATATACATGAAACTTTGGTGAATTGTTTATATCTATTGACGTGAGCTCCCTTTTGTTTTTTTATAAATTTCAGACGTACCGTTTCTGAGTTTTCGGGTTTTATTCATTAAAAAAGGGGGGATTTTCCAGTTTTCTAACAATAACTCAAGAATGCTTTCACCAACTTGCAAGAAATTTGGTGAATTGTTTATATCTATTGACATGAGCTCCCTTTCGATTTTTATAAATTTTAGATTTTACGTTTATGAGTTACAGGGTTTTATTCATAAAAAAGGGGGATTTTCCAGTTTTCCGACAATAACTAAAAAATGCTTTCAGCAGTTCTCATGAAACTTTGGTGAATTGTTTATATTTGTTGATGTAAGCTCCCTTTAGAATTTTATAAATTTTAGATTTTACATTTCTGAGTTATGGGGTTTTATTCCTTAAAAAAAGGGGGATTTTCCAGTTTTTGGACAATAACTCAAAAATGCTTTAAGCAGTTCGCATGAAACTTTGGTGAATTATTTATAGCTATTGATGTAATCTCCCTATTGATTTTCATAAATTTCAAATATGACATTGAGAAGAAATTGAACTTTATTTGTTTATAGTTTGACAACTGATTTACTAAGTATTGCCCAACAGCACAGTGTATTGCACAACAGCAAGAAATCTTTAATTGAATATAAATTCAATTCATATAACCAATTTCAAGTTCTTTGACTACATTTATTCAGAAACCTATAATATGTCAAATATTTAATTACAATCCAAATTCAGACCTGTATCAAGCTTGAATATTGTGTCCATTTTTGCCCCAACTGTTCAGGGTTGGACCACTGCGGGCGTATCCAGCTGTGCTAAGCGAAGCAGTTTATTAAGTCTTCCAAACGAAGTTTGGGAAGACTTATTGTTTTTGCTCAGTTCTTATTCTTCTTCTTCTTCCGCCGCTTTTAAATTTGAACTTGTCCGCACCCGTTCTCCAAAACCGCTTGTCAGATTAACTTAGGGTTTCACAATATGTTAGACTAACATGTCTAGTGGTGCAATCAGGGTTTTGTTTGTGCAATGGGGTTTATAAAGGGGTACTTTGAGGGGCAAAAAGAAAAGAGGGTTTTACTATAGAACCCTATGGGATTTTATTTTTTTAAATTTTCAAATGATTATAAATTGAAAACTGTTTGTGATAGACACAATCTTTTTAATTGAAAATGTTCTAAATGATAAAGCCAATTAAATGAAATACAGGGTTAGTCCCCAGGGGTCACCCCCACCCCCTGCCATTTAAGAAAGTTCTAATACCTTGTAAGTGGTCAAGATCCCCACCCCTAAACCATATATATTTTGGTTTGTTATGCTAAGATGGTTTGAATGATATACAGGATTAGTCCCCAGGGGTCATCCCGACCCCCTGCCATTTGAGAAAGTTCTAATATCTTGTAAATGGTCGAGATCCCCACCCCTAAACCATATATATTCTGGTTTGTCATGATAAAGCACATCAAATGAAATACAGGGTTAGTCCCCAGGGGTCACCCCCACCCCCTGCCATTTAAGAAAGTTCTAATATCTTGTAAGTGGTCAAGATCCCCACCCCAAACCATATATATTCTGGTTTGTCATGCTAAGATGGTTTGAATGATATACAGGGTTAGTCCCCAGGGGTCATCCCGACCCCCTGCCATTTGAGAAAGTTCTAATATCTTGTAAATGGTCGAATTCCCCACCCCTAAACCATATATATTCTGGTTTGCCATGATAAAGCACATCAAATGAAATACAGGGTTAGTCCCCAGGGGTCACCCCCCACCCCCTACCATTTAAGAAAGTTCTAATATCTTCTAAGTGGTCAAGATCCCCACCCTTAAACCATATATATTCTGGTTTGTCATGCGAAGATGGTTTGAATGATAAACAGGGTTAGTCCCCAGGGGTCATCCCGACCCCCTGCCATTTGAGAAAGTTCTAATATCTTGTAAATGGTTGAGATCCCCACCCCTAAACCATATATATTCCTATTTGTCATGTCTCCAACATTTGAATGACGTATACGTCAGTCCCCAGGGGTTCCCCCCACCCCCAATGTTCTAATATCTTGTAAATGGTTGAGATCCCCACCCCTAAACCATATATATTCCTGTTCGTCATGTAATGAACATTTGAATGACGTATAGGGCCAGTCCCCAGGGGTTCCTCCCCACCCCCAATGTTCTAGTATCTTGTAAATGGTCGAGATCCCCACCCCTAAACCATATATATTCTGGTTTGTCATGCCAAGATGATTTGAATGATATACAAGGTTAGTCCCCAGGCATCACTAATGCATATAACTTTACTGGACCAAACCAATTTTCACTGGACGTTGCCCAGTGTCAAGCGACCCTGGGAATTACGAATTATGGGAGCTTCGTTTGGGAGACTTCGTAACAGCATCCTGTTACAATCATTTCTTGTTAGATTTGAGATTGGGCAGTTAAATCTTCGCTGTGTTCATTATTGGTGTTTCATGGCCTTATACAATGCATTAAATGAACAGGGAATGTTTTCATAGTGTAAATATGTCAGGGAAAATGCCTTTTTGGGAAAATTAGAAGCCCTGCTTCTTGTCAATACTGTGAATTCATTTATTTTCGTGGGTACCAATTTTCGTGGATTGAGGAAAATTTGCATTTTCGTGGATATTTAATTTCGTTGTTTTGGCAAAGTCTGCATACATTCCTTTATAAAATTTGTAAATCGTTTAACATTTAAATTCATTGTTCCCCTGTACCCACGAAATCCCCGAAAATTGGTATCCAACCAATATTAATGAATCCACAGTAATGTGTTTTAAGGGCATGTATTAGTAGTGCTAACTTCTCATTTGTAAATTAAAATTATATGGTATGACATTTCAGCGATGGTTAAAAGTCCTTAAACCATACTGTGTTAACACTCAACCTATAAAGTCACAGACCATGGCTAGAAGATTGAAGGAGTTACGTACACTGACAGTAGAAATTGGTGATGCCCCTCAGTTACCATCCAAAACCTTGCCACACCCTTATTGTATAGTGAATTTAAATAATACAATTAAAGTGTGTCGGACAGCTGTGAAGGAAGAATTAAAAAGTTACTGGGAGGAAAAATTTGTCTTAGAGTAAGTAGTAATTGTCTGAATTCAATGTATTCAATGTATTTCATGTATTCTTTGTTTGGCAGGAAAAAAACTCATCAAAGATACCAGTCTTATAAGTTATATCTGAATGTTTGCTTTGGTCATAAGTCGGAATTTGAAATATTTAATATTTTGTTTTGACAAAAAGTATAAAATATGCCTATTTTACTTAAAAACATTTTTTCTTCACATTCTTTACCAATATTTTGTAGGATTTAAAATATTTAAAAAGAATGAATGTACCCCTGCTCCAAAGGTTTGTTGCATTTTTCTCAGGATCTACGTATCAGATGTTATGAAATTGGGTATCAAGCATACTATACTGTTTTATGTGTTTTCATAACTATATCTCATCAACTCCTTGTTAGTTAATACTACTTGAGCAGGGATATCATAAATGAACAATTACACTCATTGCATCATTTTTTGTCTCGCCTTGACGGAGTCAAAAAGCGAGACATAGATATGCTGTTTCTGGCTGCGGCGTGGCCAACAGTGGCTTCAACAATGTATTAGTTTGTGATTAGGTCTAGTTCATGGTGAACCACTAGTGGTAGGTCAATGATATTTGGTATGCAGTTGTATTAGCATTGGCACATCTCATTACCATGGAGATTATTTGGCCCCGCCCCCTCAGTCAAGGTCTATTGACTTTGAAACTTTGCTTTATTTACATGTATTAGTTTGTGATTAGGTCAGATTATGGGGAACCACTAGTGGTAGGTCAATGATATTTGGTATGCAGTTGTATAAGCATTGGCACATCTCATTTCTAATGGAGTTTATTTGGCCCCGCCCCCTTATTCATGGTCTATTGACTTTGAAACTTTTGCTTCATTTTCATGTATTAGTTTGTGATTAGGTCAGTTCAAGGGGAACCGTTAGTGGTAGGTCAATGATAATTGGTATGCAGTTGTATAAGCATTACCACATCTCATTTCCATGGAGAATATTTGGTCCCGCCCCCTCAGTCATGGTCTATTGACTCTGAAACTTTTGCTTAGTTTACTTGTATTAGTTTGTGATTAGATCAGTTTAAGATGACCTGCTAATGTTAAGTCAATGATATTTGGTATGCAAATTTATTAGCATTTGCAAGTCTTGTTTCCATGGAGATTATATAGCCAGCCCTCATCATGGTTCATTGACTTTGAAACATTTACATAGTTTACAAGTTAATGTTTGTGTTTAGGTTTGTTTATAGGGAACGACTTATGATAAGTCAGTTGTATTTGGTACTAGTATGCAGTTGTATTAGCATTGGCACATCTCATTTCCATAGAGATTGTTTAGCCCTGTACCTTCAGTCATGGTTCATTGACTTTGAATATTTGCATAACTTACATGTTAAAGTATTGCTATTTTTTTCAACATTTGCATTATCAAAATATTAAATAGGCTAGACATATCTCTGTGTTAACAGTTTATTTGCTTTATCTTTAGAGATATACCAAGTGATGTAGATGGTTTCAGCATTATGGTTTATAATCAAAATAGAAGATCAAAAGATACAGAAATTGGTATGCCTTAATTTGTGTTGTTCTATATATAATGACTATATAATTACTATGTTATATGATCACATGATTTTATTGTCCAGTCATTGTCTTATGTGGAAATCCTGTAAGATCAAAGTTATAAATTTGCCACATATCTATTGTTTTTTCATCAACTATAAAGGAAGATCTACAGTTTCACATCTCATACTTCAGTTTACTCTATGTCTTTCATAATACGAGAAAATATGAAGTTAAGTTTCAATGAAACAGCAACACTCCACAAAAGTGTACTACAAATAATACACTATTCTCCTTCATGTGTTGTTAACTTCTGGAATTCTTAGACGGGAAGAACTCACAAAGGACACTCTTTAAAAGTAGGAAAGATGTTTGTTGTCTGTAGACTCTGGTGATGCAGATAGTTTATCTAAAGCATTATGCTTTATTTAGAATAAAGCTGCTTTGAACTTAAATGTATATCATATTAAATAGCTACACAATTTGATAATTAAATGCACATATTTTTGACATAGTGGTAAACTGCTTGTGTATGACATAGTGTAAAAGAGTTGATGTTTATATAATGACATAGTGTTCAACATGTGATTTTATGACATGGTATTAAATATTAATTTTGACATAGTGTTGAAATTGTATGTATGACATATGGTGACCTATAGTCATTAACTTCTACATCATTTGGTCTCTGGTGGAGAGTTGTCTCATTGTCAATCATACCACATCTTATTTTTATATGGCGACAAACTCTGTGTTTGACATAGTCTTATATTGCTTATGTTTATCACATAATGTTAAAGATGTATGTTTATGACATAATGATAAACTGTCTATGTTTATTACAATTGTTTATGTTGATGATGTTATGAAAGATGTGTATATTTACTACATAGTAATAATATGTGTATGTTTACTACATAGTAGTAACATATGTATGTTTATTACATAGTAGTAATATGTGTATGTTTATTACATAGTAGTAATATGTGTATGTTTATTTCAGTGTTTAATTGTATTTTACAGCTCAGATTGTGATAAAATATGAAGACTTTGAGGCAGGAGAGACCCTTGATAAATGGTATCCCTTACATCCGACTAATAGTATAGTAAAAGGTGGTGATCTGGGCTCCATTAGAATCAGGGCTAGGTACCAACATGAGATTATCATGCCTGAAGACAAATACTCCACATTAAAGGAGGTAAGAATCAAGACCCACTACTAGCACTTGTTTATAATCCCTGAAGATGAAAGCTCTGGATTAGAAGGAGTTTTCATCAGAACCAAGTGCAAGGTCTAACATACAAACTATCATGATTAAGGATAAATGGAACACGACTGTTAATGGAAATGCTTGAATACAACGAAAGTATTTTATTGAAATTTTTGTGTGTGTTTATATTCTTTGTAGATTTTATGGAAACTATTAAAAGCTAGTATTCATAAACATTGTTGAAATGGCAAAATTTACAACTATATTTGTGAGACAAAAAATCTTGCTTTTTACATAAAAGCCCTGAACTAAATCTGGTTTTTAAGTTTAAAGAGGAACATTTTTTTGAAACTTGAACATCAAACCTCAATGTTAGCTATCTACTTTATTCACTCTTGTTTTTTGCAGTTACATTTCAATATAATGTATTGTTTTCAGCTTATACTAAATGGTGATCTGATAAACTTATTAGAACTGTTCAACATGTGTAGCAGTGAAAGAATTCCACTAGCAAAAGCCTTACTACAAATATTCAGACACGAAAAGCAAGAAAAAGTAATACTGAAAACAATGAATGATTTTGAAATTAACAGAGAAGGTAGGTTTTTAGAAAAATTATGGATTGTTGTTTTTATACACCTGTCCAAGATGGGACTTATTATGGTATACCGTTGTCCCTCTGTCCGTCCATCCCAATATTTGGTAAATTGTTCATATCTATTGACGTAAGCTCCCTTTCGATTTTGATCAATTTTAGATTTTACGTTTCTGAGTTAGAAAATTTTATTCATAAAAAGGGGAGGAGGGGGGTTCCCGTTTTCAGACAATAACTCAAAAACGCTTTGAGCAGTTTTCATGAAACTATATTGACTTGTTTATATCTATTGAAATAAGCTCCCTTTTGTTTTTATTTTATAAATTTTTTATATGACATTGCAGAGTTATGGAACTTAATCTGTTGAAAAATTATCAAAACTAAAAGGGCGACGGGCGTATTATGTGCTCATGGCGCAGCTCTTTATATTAATGTCCAGTGGGAAATATTTCATAATGATATCTGTAATTTGTTTATTACAGAGGAAGTATCTACATTATTTAGCTATGTGCACATTCCTTGCTGATAGCTGTAATTTGTTTATTACAGAGGAAGTATCAACATTATTTAGGGCTACGTCTCTTGCCACCACATTGATGGACCAGTACATGAAAATGACTGCTTCTCAGTTTGTCAGTGATGCTGTGAAGGAATATATCCTTAAGATTATAGACAGTAAACTGTCGTGTGAGGTGGGTAGATTTAGTAATTCATTGTAATGACTCTTTTTATTGAAAGGAAGTTTTGAGAGCATATACATAATTAGTTATTTTGAGTTTTATCAGGAACAAGATGTTATTGTATACAATTTGTATAGATTATGTTTTGGATTAGACCATGTTATTGTCATCAGACCTTAACCTCATTTTCATGTTCCAGCAGTCAGGTGTAGTTATAAGGCTTGGGTCTGTTCTTCAGTAATCATAAATGATAGGTCCACACATATTTTGAATGTGGGTTGGTTGTGAGTAGTATATGCAATCACTCTCAGTTTAATAACATTGATAGGTATTCTTTTTGTCACTTTTGAAAGAACTTTAAAAGATAGCTTTATCTTATTGATTAAATGCTGTGTTTTGCAAGTTCTTATTTCTAATCTGTATAACTGCCAAAATACTGTAAATTAACAAATTATTGCATGCGTTTATAATTGAGATTTTTGAAAAATGAACAAAAAGTCAAAAACGTGAGATTGATTATTGGGATTTCATGAAAATCTCCATACAGATATTTGTATCAGATATCAGTATGCAAGTTCTTATTATTGCGATACTTACCCAATCGTATTATTCGCATTAATCAAAACCTCACATTAATTTCTGAATTTAAGGGTAGTTTGTTTGTTATTATGTTTTTTCAATGTTCAGTTTTTGTGGTTCCGCCTGTTTCTTAAACATATTTTAATAGGTCAGCTGTATTTGGTGTATTGAAAATTGTATGAATATATCTGGCTGGCAGGGTGCAACTAACCTTGACCTCATTCACATGGATCATTGATAATGTTTATGTGATATTTGTAGTAAAACCCTTTGCAAATACTTTCAACATAAATTAAAAAAATTAACAGTAAAGCAGGGAAGACATTTCAGCGTTTGCACTTTTTTATGCAATCATATAGGAAGTGTTGTTTTTGTCTTGCATGTGACAAAAGTTACAGAATGTGAGACATAAGGAAAAAAAAATGATATATATATAAATGGTATTAACTCTTAAGTTATGAATGTCTTATGTTGACCAGGAGTTATCCTTCTTTATAAACTGTATCAACTGACTCTCCCCCTTTTATTATTGGAACAATTATTGTCTGTTATGTGTGTATAATAATCATAATTATATTGTATTGTCTGTATTTGTAACTTGATTGATATAAAATTGAGAATGGAAATGGGGGAATATGTCAAAGAGACAACAATGCTTGTCATGAGCCCTATGATTAGGAAAATAAAAAAAAAATCTATTCTATTCTATTCTATGTAGTTAATCTTTTATCTTGAAGACTTTGAACATAAAAATCAAACTAGTAAAGCAGTAGATAATTTCAGTGTGTCACTCTTGGTGAACTATCCAATAAAAGGAAATTATTATACATAGGAAATGGTTTTGTGGTTTGAATTTTAATACATATAACAGATTTATTCATATTATGTGGAGTTGTCTGTATGATGATGTATTGTATTGCAGTTAAATCCAGCCATGTTAGAACCAAATGAAAACATTATCACCAACAGAGAAAATTTTCAAAAGAATCTTACAGAAATGACAGAGAGTATATTTAATTCTAAAGACAGCTGTCCTCCGTATGTGTATAGTGTGTTAATCTACAGAATATTTTTAGTGTGTCAATCTACAGAATATTTTGTCTTCTATATGTATATTTTGTGATGTGTTAGTCCTTTGCTTCTATACAAATGTAGTGTGATGGACTGTTTTTTACATATATGGTGTATGTGTCTCTAAATCATCAGTAGTGTTGCCTCGGTAGGAACTTGTGTGTTAAATCCTAAGTAGTGTTGCCTCGATATGAACTTATGTGTTAAATCCTCAGTAGTGTTGCCTCGGTAGGAACTTGTGTGTTAAATCCTCAGTAGTGTTGCCACGGTAGGAACTTATGTGTTAAATCCTCAGTAGTGTAGCCTCAGTAGGAACCTATGTGTTAAATCCTCAGTAGCGTTGCCTCGGTAGGAACTTATGTGTTAAATCCTCAGTAGTGTAGCCTTGGTAGGAACTTATGTGTTAAATCCTCAGTAGTGTAGCCTCAGTAGGAACCTATGTGTTAAATCCTCAGTAGTGTAGCCTCAGTAGGAACTTATGTGTTAAATCCTCAGTAGTGTAGCCTCAGTAGGAACCTATGTGTTAAATCCTCAGTAGCGTTGCCTCGGTAGGAACTTATGTGTTAAATCCTCAGTAGTGTAGCCTTGGTAGGAACTTATGTGTTAAATCCTCAGTAGTGTTACCTCGGTAGGAACTTATGTGTTAAATCCTCAGTGAGCTGTATGTATTCATGAGTAGTTGTTAGTCAGAGGTATTTATATATCTGTAGGTTGTGAGTACTGTATAAAAAGATGTTTACTGTCTCTGAAACATAGACCCAATGACACAATGTCTTTCCTCTTTAGATGAGTGGTTTAGGCATCATAATTAGAAGAAAATAAACTTGCTACTGAACTATGACAAATTTGGGAAAGTTTTCCTGAGCCAAAAATTTATTAATATTTTTTTTACCTAAAAATTGCATATACAAATAGTTTGATTTATCATAAGTGCAGTATTTTCCCCAAAAGAAGTTTACTTTTGAACTTCTTTATCCCCAGAAGATTTCGGGAGCTGTTTGAACTAACTTTTTATGTTCAGTAAGTAGAATGTGTACAATTCTTTGAGAAAAGTTGGGGTGTTTGGCTTGATTAAGTGCCATTTAAAAGCAAAATTCTTAAGTTCAAAATTCATTTTAAAACGATAAAAAGTACACCTCACTTGAAGATGAGTTTACTGTGTATTATTATTCGTCTGTTTCCAAATTTTGGGGATTATGGGTGTTCAGATAAAAAATGAATTTGAATGGTTAACCAAGTACAAATTTTCTATATGCTTGTATTCAGTTTCCAGCAAAACCATGAAATCAAATATCCAAGAAAATACCAGTTTTCCTCAATCCACAAAAATTGGTATCCATGAAAATGAATGAATCCGCTGTACTTATTAGTCCACTACCGACAGAGTGGAAGAGGACTTAAGGCTTGCACTCTGTCTGTCAGTCTTGAAGATATTGATTTGATATTTAGTGAATTGTTTTATCATGACAAGTTACAGATCAAGTTCGAATTTTGTTCCGGTCTGATGATTTTGTGCAGAGTTATGGTCCTTAGACTTAGAAAATTCACTTAAATAATCAGTTTTCAACACTTTTTTTTCGTCATGCTTAAAGATATTGACTTGATATTTGTTAGATAGTTTACACCATGACAAGTTATAGATCAAGTTAGCATTTTGTTCCAATACAATGAATTTTTAACCGGTAGGTGGCTATGTATTGGCATGCAATACTCTCAGAATGCTTGTTTGGTCACTTGTTGAATTTTTCTATATTTTAATTCCTCGATTATTTGTTCTATAAACATAAATAAAACAGAGTGCCAGATAGATATACATATATTGATAAACACCAATGGAATTCTGATCTGCATTGGACAAAACAATCCTCATTTAAACATGATGAAACTAAGAAGTAAATTGATTAGGACATATGGACAAAGAGAAGTTGGCTATATACATAAGGTGTTACTTAAAGAAATAGATACACTCCAATAAAAACAAAAACACAAATTGAACAAAAATGTATGACCATGTTCTGTCTATTTGATTACGTGTATTTTACATCAATGACTATATAACGGCATTATCTTTTGTAGAGTTTTACGCTATATATGTGGTTGTTTACAAAAGACTGTTGCTGTAAAATGGCCCAGTGATGATAGTGTGAAGACCAGGGTTGTAAGGTAAGATGGTTGCAGACCATATGCATTTACATATTTTAAAAAAGGAACCCTCTCTGTGGTTTTTAATAATTGTGCTCTATTAAAGCTACAGAGCTCAAGCTTCTCAAACCAAAATTTACAAAATTGGTATTTGTTGTTTCTCTGCTAAAAACAATATTAAGAAGCAAATACTTGGTGGCTAGGAGTCAAAAAGATAGTGTCCATGTAGGGTGAAATGTCTTGTCTTATTAGCTATCATACCACTTCTTATTCATCCCCTACCGACAAAGTCGAAGGGGACTTTAGGTTTGCACTCTGTCCGTCTGTGTCTGTCTGTCCATCTGTCAGTCCGGCAAATCAGTTTTCCACACTTTTTTTCTTTGTGCTTGAAGACATTAATTTGATATTTGGTGTATTGTTTAATCATGAGAAGTTACAGATCAAGGTTGAATTTTGTTCCGGTCTGACGATTTTGTGCAGAGTTATGGTCCTTGGACTTAGAAAATTCACTCAAATAATCAGTTTTCTTCACTTTTTTTCGTCATGCTTGAAGATGTTGAATTGATGATCGGTATATAGTTTTATCATGAGAAGTTACAGATTAATTTTGAATTTTGTTCCGGTCTGATGATTTTGTGCAGAGTTATGGTCCTTGGACTTAAAAAATTACTCAAATAAACAATTTTCCACATTATTTTTTTGTCATGCTATGAAGATATTGACTTGATATTTGTTACATGTAGAATATTTTATATGTTGATTACTAAGTTGATCATTTAGTTGACTGACGAATCAATACCACTGTTAACTCACAACAGTAATCTCATTGTTGATTCAGAACAGTTCTGGTAAATTCAGAAATTACTGCATTATTTTTATTCATGGAAAAAATGTGACAGTAACCGAATCGCAATAATAAAAACTTGCATTCTTAATTTCAGTACTGATTTGAGTTCCCAAAATTTTGAAGTCTCATTTAGAAATAGCATTTTTACCTATGATCAGTGATTCACAATAATTAATTCACACATTAATTTCTGAATTTACAGTATACCTATTTAACAATACTCGTCTTATTACATTTCAGTGGTTTTGTATTTTTACGATTATTATGTCCAGCTATTCTGAATCCAAAGTCTTTCAACTTAATAACAGGTATGTTATGTTTCTTAGACAATTAATTTTATGAAAATAAACCTGTCATTTACTTGGGAATTAGTTTGTGAAGGGTTAAACAGTCCACACTTAATATGATAAAAAATAATCTTCATTTCTCAAGCCAATCATTGATTAAAAAAAAATGGGGGATAAGGTTCTAGAGTTTCCGGTTTTAATCATCAGTAATAACGTGGAATGGTATGACTGTTGATTGTTTATTATTTGTTGAATACTAATTTCGTTAATTTTTGTGGTTAAATGTTTATATACAATGAAATTAAATGTTCAACATTAAATAAATTTCTCATAAGTTTGTATGTATAATATTGAAAAAAATAAAAAGAAGAATGTGTCTCAGGACACAAATGCCCCAGAGTTTCATAAAATTTGTATGAGGCAAACTTAAGTTTGATTCAGAAATGAAAATGAGACGGACGGAAAGACGAGATGGTCAAGGATAACACTTAATGCCCCTGTGCCTATGGTAGGGGTATAATAAGTCTAGTTTCCACGAAAATTCCTTTTTTCATGAATCCTAAAAAAATTGATATCCGGGAAATAGTTACATGAAGAAATGATTTCAAGTTGGTAGATTATTCAATAAAAATTACTTCTTTTAAAGAAATGCTTTTAATTTCATAGAACGGTGAAACACAGTGTTATGGCAAAGAGATCATGAAAAACAATATTATTTGCTCTATTTACATGATGAATTTGACAACATATAATATACAAGAAAATGACATGAATGGGTTTGGTCTTGATACACTAACCAATGAAACAATAAAACAAACAAAAAAGTTTATAAATTTTATAAAAACTAAAACCATGAAATAATGATTTGCTGTCTGATTGATGATAGAAACAAAACAATGTATTAAAATATACTTTTTTATACAGAAACTCCATCAGAGACAGCTTCCAGAACCTTAAAGTTAATAGCTAAAGCCTTACAGAACTTAGCAAACCTTGTAGAATTTGGTGCTAAGGTAAGATTTATTCAGTTTAGTGTTAACAAATGTTTCTGTTTCCCATAGGTATGACATGTTCCTGGAACAACCTTCACCATGAAAGGTGGAGACCAAAAGTTTGGAAAGCAAAATATCAATGAGAGCATAAAAACAGGAAGTGCATGAATAGATCAGCCAAAATCATCTAAGACCAACATTACGAGAACAAAGCTCATGCTTTAGATGAAAGTAAAAAATGTTCATACTACAATACTATGAGGATTTTATTTTTTACTGTGTAAATCATATTGTCTTCTTTACAAACATTATTTGATACTGCATACTTTGAATTATTATTTTCTTGAGAGTTAATTGTACTGTGGATTCATTTATTTTCGTGGGTACCAATTTTCGTTGATTAAGGAAAACTTGCATGTTCGAGGATATTTAATCTCATGGTTTTGGCGAAGTCTGCATACAAGCCTATAGAAAATTTGTTATTAGTTGAACATTTAATTTCGTGGTTCAACAGTACCAACGAACTCCACGAAAATTGGTATCCAACGAATAATAATGAATCCACAGTATTGACATTAAACTGAATTTTGGTATAACAATATGAACATTGTGTAAATGTAACATACTGACTGCACTTAAATATCTTACTCAGAGTATTTGTTTAGTTATTTCACCATCTCATTGCTTTAAGTGAAAGAGGCAGATATCAAGATAACAGCTGAAAAAAATGTGTCTGCTAAAAAAATAGTGTTTACGACAACTTAGAAAATGGAGGATCTTTACAGTGGTTGTCCAGAAGTATTTTGCATTTGAAAGGTTTTGTTTTGTAAGTGTGAAAGTGTGATAGAAGGAGCAAGAAAAAGGCATAGTTTATTGAACAGTATCAATGACTATTTCACAACAAGGAAGGAATAAAGGTTCATTTGTTATCTTAAGTTTGCACTTAAGAAAAAAAATTTAAAATACTTGAAAGAAAGTGCATCTATTTAGCTCATTACATTATAAAACCAGATTTCTTTTCAAATATTGAAGTGATGTTCTAGATGTATACTTGCTGCTTGTCTGACATGTCAGAAGAAGGATTTTGTTAATTTATTCATTGGATAAATATTAGGACTGTTACTACAGAGTTACATTGTGAATGATACATTTATTTGTTTTCAGGAATCTTTCATGGAAGTAATCAATCCATTCATTAAGAAAAATAAGCCAAGAATGGTCATGTTCCTAGATAATTTATCAGTAAGTTTACAACACTTTTCCTGTTTAGGAATATAAAATCAATCTAAACAAATGCGTCAAGGAATTTTGCTAACCAGTTTGGTTGTAGAAGAATAAAAAAAAACTGGAAACAAATATACGAGTCTTAAGATTTGAACACCAATGATGATAGAATATTTAAAAAAAGATACCTGATGATAATCATGGCTTCCAGTTTTTGTCTCGCCTTGACGGAGTCAAAAAGCGAGACATAGGTATGCTGTTTCCAGCAGCGACGGCGGCGGCGTCAACAATGTATTAGTTTGTGATTAGGTCTAGTTCATGGTGATCCACTAGTGGTAGGTCAATGATATTTGGTATGCAGTGGTATTAGCATTGGCACATCTCATTACCATGGAGATTATTTGGCCCCTCCCCCTCAGTCAAGGTCTATTGACTTTGAAACTTTTCATAGTTTACATGTATTAGTTTGTGATTTGGGCAATTTATGGGGAACCACTAGTGGTAGGTCAATGATATTTGGTATGCAGTTGTATAAGCATTGGCATATTTCATTTCCATGGAGATTATTTGGCTCCGCCCCCTTAGTCATGGTCTATAGACTGAAAATTTTGCTAAGTTAACACGTATTAGTTTGTGATTAGGTCAGTTCAACGGGAACCATTAGTGGTAGGCCAATGTGAATTGGTATTCAGTTGTATAAGCATTAGCACATCTCATTTCCATGGAGAATATTTGGCCCCGCCTCCTCAGTCATGGTCTATTGACTTTGAAACTTTTGCTTAGTTTACATGTTTTAGTTTGTGATTATATCAGTTTAAGATGAACTGCTAATGTTAAGTCAATGATATTTTGTATGCAAATGTATTGGCATTTGCAAGTATCATTCCATGGAGATTATATAGCCCCACCCCTGATCATGGTTCATTGACTTTGAAACTTTTACATAGTTTACAAGTTAATATTTGTGTTTCGGTTTGTTTAAAGGGAACGACTTATAATAAGTCAATGGTATTTGGTATGCAGTTATATTAGCATTGGCACATCTCATTCCATTGAGATTGTTTAGTCATGTACCTTCAGTCATGGTTCATTGACTTTGAATATTTACATAACTTACATGTTAAAGTATTGAGTTTTTAATTTCAACATTTTCATTGATATCAAAATTACAAAAAGGCGAGACATATCTCTGTGATAACAGTTTTTAATGTAAACATTCTGTGATAATGGTATTGCATGTTTTATATTGACCAAGAATCACAAGGAATGTCCTGAAATCTGAATTTAAACAAATACATAAGTATGGGAGGACCCTTCAATAAAGGAAAAGCCATTCATTGTAATTTTGATACAATATTTTCTCTTGGTTCAGTTTTCAGTTTTGTGACTACTCTCTATGTATTAAGTCCAGATTTTTGTTCAATCTCTTTATATTCAATTCATATCTTGTTAATCCTCTATAACTTTAAACCAATACTTTTTTCTCTTTAAGCCCCTTTAAACCAACTCTATCAAATAGACTGGCAGGATATTTGAGCTCTAACATTACACTATTTAAAAGAATAAGATTTTGTTTTAAGAATTGAAAACCATTGTTGACTGCATCATTCATGTAACTATTTGTTCAACCTTTAATTGAAGGTAAACCAAGATAAGATCTGTGACAGCCAGAAAACAGAGTCCGTAGTGGATGATCTAGCCAGAGATTTGGCTACAGTTCATCAGATATGTGCCACACACTTAAACGATCTGAAGAAACTCAGTGAAACAATGGTAGGACTAAGCATTTGGTTCATTTGTATAGCTTGATACTTCATTTTATCAGTGACAATTATAGAATATTATTACTGGTTTTGACAATGGTGTTAAAATTTGGTTTTTATAGTTGATAACATAATGCAACTTCATATTAAATATCATCAGCCAGTTATAAGTTCTTGATGAACACAATTCATATAAATAAGAAGATGTGGTATGAGTGCCAATGAGACAACTATCCATTCAAGTCACAATGTGTAAAAAGTAAACAATTATAGGTCAAAGTACGTCCTTCAACACGAAGCCTTGGCTCACACCCAACAGCAAGCTATAAAGGGCCCTAAAAAGACTAGTGTAAAACAATTCAAACAGGAAAACTAACAGTCTAATCTATATAAAAAACGAGAATCGAGAAACACTTATGAACCACACCAACAAACGACAACCACTGAACAACAGGCTCCTGACTTAGGACAGGTGCATAAAAATGCAGCGGGTTTAAACGTTTTAACAGGCGCCAACCTTCACCCTAACCTGAAACAGTGGTATAACATGACAACATAAAAAGACACACAATAAAATATCAATTGAAATGGCTTAACTCGATCAAAAAGACAATACACAATAACAAGTAAATATACACTGAACGAATAAGTTTGATCTATGACACAATATAAATAAAAAAGATGTTTCAATGTCAAAAAGACAACTTTAACCTAGGACAAAATGGCATTAAATAAAGTAACGTACACAGGTAAATTTAAATAAAATAATTTAGTTGTTAGGCGTACAGAAAAATTTTTTACAAAATAAATTTGTTACTCATAGTATGAGTACAGAAGTGAAAATATTTTAGTCATACTAAATACTTATCAAAGGTGGTACATATTAAAAATAGTAAGACGAGATATAACACAAAATAAGTAAACATTGAATAACAGAAATGCATTACAAATTGTGTCAACAGGTCAAATTAACACAAAAGTATGATTTGAGAGTACTCGCAGTTACTGAAAGCTAGTTAAAAGCCATAAAAAAATTAATAATAATAAATCATGCATCAGAGACTAAAATCAATTAAAACACATCCCAGGCAGGGATTTAGTGTTTTAACGCCATGGACAGTCAAAGAAGACATGACTTGTGCAATGCCAAAATAAAAGTAATGACAGGCAGTAGGACAGTTAGGATTTAACCTTGTGATAAATATGTATGATGTTATGTATAGATAAAACAATTTCTAAATAGAAAATAAACATGGATGTGTATACATCCCAAAAAAACATTTGAAAAGAATACAAATTTAGTTCTGTTTTAATTTGTTGATGACAAAATCAATGTTAATGCCAATGAAAACAATATTCAAAGATCTTATTACAACATTAATAAGATAACCTTACTAAAAAGTTTATGTAAAGGTTCCATATGTTTACATTAACATAATGTTAAAATTCTAAAGTCACTGAAGTGTGATTGAGTGATGAAGCCTTTTTATTATACCCCACACAACAAAGTTGAGTAGTGTATTATGTTTTTGACCTGTCCATAAGTCTGTCTGTCGGTCCTGTTCTTGTCATGGCAACTCCTCTGAAACTACACAACAGAATTTCATGAAACTTTGTAGATAATAAGGACAAACTATGTAAATGTGCATAAGGATAGGAAATTATTATGCTATTTTTTTTTCTAAGGATTATGCCCCTTTGAACAGAATTTTGGCCTAAATATACTACTGCAACAGTTTGTTATCGCAACTCCTCTGAAACAACACAACAGAATTTGATGAAACTTTGTACATAATAAGGACATACTATATGGATGTGCATATTGACAGGAAATTATGATTCAATTTATTTTCTAGGAGTTATGCTCCTTTGAACTTAGAATTTTGGCCTAATATACTACTGCAACAGTTTCGTCATTGCAACTTCTGAAACCACACTACAGAATTTGATGAAATTTTGTAGATTAGAAGGACATACTATGTAGATGTGCATATCGACAGGAAATTACAATTCAATTCTTTTTCTGGGAGTAATGCTCCTTTAAATTTGACCTAACTTTACCTCTTCAGTAGTTTGTCAGTGCAACTCCTCTGAAACCATACTACAGAATTTCCTAAAACTTTGTAGTTAATTTGGAAATAATATGTAGATGTTCATATCCATACATATTTTATCAGTTGACTTTTGTTCGAGTTAGGAGTCTTTGAACTTAAGAATATGGTTCGATATTTTTTTCCCAGTGACAATGTTGGGCCTGGGTGTATGTGAGCATGCTCACAAAGGTTCTTTAATTTATACTATTAAGAGTTTATTTTAATTGAAAATTCTTAATTTTACTTTATTATGATTTTCAGCCTTCATTAAAGAAACTGGTTGCGGTTACAGAAATTTTGACAGATCACAAGAAAAGATATATGACTTGAAGAAAGAAGAACTAATTGTGAATGTGTTCAAATCCTTATTCGATCACTTGAAAAGTGAATCTTGATTGGTTCATTAAGTGTAGTTCACTTATAGTGCAACTGATTGGTTGATTATGATCCACTGGTTTCTTAGCATTACCTTTATGTAGAACCAGTATAGGCTGTGATATTACAGTAGTGGCAGATTAACATTAGCTTTAAACAATGGCCACCATTGATGTATTTTAATAGATTTTTTTATGTCAAAGCTGTGATCTTTAAGAATTCAAAAGACCTTCAAAACTTATTTTCTTTTCAAATTAAGTGTTTGAGTAAACCAAATTCAAATGTTAGCCTAAAAAACATGAATACTTTAAAGATCTGTGCTACTTTATTGAAGCAATCTTCATTGTATGAATAATTAATATTAATAAGAAATCACTCCAAAAAAAGGAAATAACTTATGTTGTGCCCTGTTTTGATAATGGTCTTTTTACTTGTTTATTGATAGCATTGTTGTTAATGTATGACACAAAATGATGAATTGGTGCCTCAAGCTTATGTGTTCAAATGAATGTATTTTTTTTCTGCCTGTGATACTGATTTGTAAGTGCTTTAAAAGTTTATATTTCTCATTATGATATCCATCATTCAAAAGGTAGATCATTCTGATATGTTATCAAATTCAGGCAACTTAGATATCCTTCAACTAAAAGCCTCCTTTTGATACCTTTTTTCTCTTCCTGATAATCATCCTTTAAATAATTAAATTCACATTTTGATCATGTAAAATATATGTTGTCCCAAAGAGATTTCTACATTTTCATCGAAAAAGAAAGTAATTATATAAAGTTTTTAATTATTTGAATATTTTAATCCATTTGTTATCAGATTTGTTATTAAAACCACAAAATTTTTACTGAATATTTTAACTAAATAACTTTTCCCACTAAACCCTTAACTATCTGCTTCCTGTCATGTCCAAAATGCTTTTAATTTTCATCTAGTGCAGGTCACATAACAGCTTGACTTTATATGACTGATTACTTTTTGTTTTTGAATCTATTTGTCAAGTCTTTGTATTGTTATATATAAAAATAAGAAGATGTGGTATGATTGCCAATGAGACAACTCTCCACAAGAGACCAGATGACACAGAAATTAACTAGTATAGGTCACCGTATGGCCTTCAACAATGAGCAAAGGCCAAACCGCATAGTCAGCTATAAAAGGCCCATAAATGACAAATGTAAAACAATTCAAAAGAAAAAACTAACGGCCTAATTTATGTACAAAATAATGAACGAAAAATAAATATGTTACACAGCAACAAATGACAACCACTGAATATAGGCTTCTGACTTGGGACAGGCACATATGGAATGTGGGGGGGGGGGGATTAAACTTGTTTGAAGACGCCAATCCCTCTCCTAACCTGGGACAGTACAACATAAGAACATTATTTTTTCAAATTTCTCAAGAAATAGACTACAACTAGGGATTGGTGGCTAAAGTTAGGAGATATTTAGTGAAAGTAAATTTTTATTGGTTCTGAAATGATATAAAACATGTAATTTATTGGTACTGAATATTAATTTTTTATTCAAAAACTAAATGATTTTGGCACAAACCAAATCAATTAAATTGCCATAATAATAAAGCTATACATAGAACCATATGGGAATCATATGAAATAAGTGCCTTCTCATTACCATTTTCTTATCAGATTAGAAATGCACACAAGCAGTATAGAGAAAATCGGCAGACTTTATTTTGCCATTACTTTAGGTGACAATCATTTAAACATTTACTATAAATTCATTATTATTTGTGGGATTGCAAGTTTTGTTGATTTTGTGGGAAAAGGGTAAACCATAATTTTCAATGTTTGACGAATATTCTAAAGGCATGAATGCAGACTTCTTTGGAAAAACCACGAATTAAAATACCCAAAAAAATCCATTTTTTATCAATCCACAAAAATTTAGTATCCACGATAGTAAAGAATCTATAGTAGAGTGTTATGTGCAGTTTTAGACTATAGTTCATAGATAAAATATTAAATGGCCTACTTCTGTTTGCAGTTCTATATAAGTCTTAGCTTGGAAACAAATCCAAATTAAAGAAATATTTTATAGATGTCAGTTTATTTGGTAATAAATGAGAGGTTACAATCGGCCAACATTGTTACAGATATCAAAGTTTGTCTGCTAGATTATGGTACGTTACTTAGCCATGTTTTAGCAGATGTTTGAAATTGTCTTATCTTTCACATACACATGTACCAGAATATAATTGCAATACAAAATTACTTTGATGTGGTATGATAGCCAATGACACATCTCTCCACCAGAGACTAAATGATGTAGATGGTTATCACTGTATGTTCTTCATCTCCTAGTAGTTTTTTATGTCCATGTCTGTCAATATTTAGTCATACCACATATCTCCTGTCTCTTATACAAACTGTATGAAAAAGTCAAAAATCTGTGCCAAGTTAATATATATTATCATTATAATAGGACTGTATACTAACATTTATTTAATGTTTTGATGGTTCAATATAGGGAATCGTTTCATATGTGAGCTGGCTCACATCTTCATTAATGTCTAAATTCTTTAAAGAAAATAACAATTAATAACACTGTTAAAAAATGCAATTTAAAGCTTATTATCTGATGAAATCATTCTTTTTGTTTGGTGGTTTGCTGTCATTTTGAGGGAAACACCACATCTCTTTTGACTCTCTTTATAATAGTATTCTTAATGATGTTATAATTAAAGTCTGGATGGCAGTGCTTAAAAAAAATATAGGTGATATTTATACGAATTTATGATATAGAAATAGCTTTAAAAAATCCTCATATGTTTTATTTTTAAAATCGAAGATAAATTGAACAAAAAGACCTATTAATAAATACTTCTTGTTTGAATAGACAATGTCCCATTTTGTTTTCTGGTAATCATACCACAAATAAAATGTTTGCTTAAAGAATGATATCTGAAATTTATTCAAACTTTTTATGAAAGATTATCTAATAACATTGTACTGCAAATTTTTGAGATGCTTTATAGATTGACATTTGCATTTAGGTCTAGATGCACTAGACTAAGTTCAAGGAGGATTTCCTTTACCGGTACATTTCGGCATTGTCATATAGAGACTCTTTTTTTTTTGCCAGTATATTACATTTATATGTATGATCAAGTATGTTTATGAATTTCTAACATTTCTGTACATATGAAAACATAATTTAATATTTATATTTTACTTTAATTTAAATTCCTTAAATAGATAATTGTTTGTATTTTATTTGATTTATTGAATTGAGAAAGTAAACATCAGTCGTATAAGCTAGTTAAGGTAGATTTTTTTAATGATATTTTGTAATATTTTAAAAGAAGCACATGTGCAATATTTTAATAAAAGTATGCAGTCTCTGGCTGTTGAAATACATCATTGTTGTTTTCTGTGTAATAATTCTTGATTCTTATTGGTTAATTTTCAAATTGCTTCTGCTTTCAATCTACAATGTGGGCCTCGGTGGCCGAGTGGTCAAAGTTGTCGAACTACTTTATCACTAGCCTGTCAACACTGAGATTGTGAGTTTGAACCCACTTGTGGTAGGTGCACTTGACTCCAATCTTAATCGACTAGGATTGAGTTTTCCTACTGAAGGTCGGTGGTTCTCTCTTTTAACACTCCTTCCTCCACCAATAAAAACTGACCACCATGAAATAGCACAATAGTGCTGAAAATGGTGTTAAACACCAATCAATCAATCTACAATGCAGAATCTTTTCAAACCTTATAGTACATTGGACTGATCGAGTGTCTAGCACAGTGAGACAGTGGTTCTACATAGGTTCCTGTTGAAGATTATTGGTGATCTTAATTTTATCTTTCTAAAAGTACTTAGTTAATCTGGAACACAGTTCTGCAGGAATATTGTATGGTTTGTTCTATATTAACATTCTTTGTATGATCCAGTAAGAGTTAAAAAAACAGGTAAAATAAATTTTTGAATCTTTTTTGTCAATTTTAAAAAATCCATAAAAAAGCAGAAATACTGAAAAATCTTCTCAACTTCTTCTCAAAAACAACCAAGTGACATAGCTACAGATAAAATATAATTGCAAAGGGTTGATTGCTACATAACATGATATATATATATATACCTGTTCACCATACTTGCCATATTTAAATATAAAAAAAATGTTTAAACTTTATAAATAAATAATTGATGTTTTATTTGAACTTTCAACACAGGGATGTTATTTCTGTGATTAGTTTTCACATTTGCCTTTGATGAAACATGTGGACTCCAAATTATCTTTCACCACATATCAATATTTAACATAGCACTTTGTGGAATGATAATCTAAAAACACCCAAATCCAACTGGTTATATTGAACCACATTAAACCTGAAATCTCCTGAAGGTGCATGCACGTAGCTACGTTTACGTCAAAACGCCCGGGCTTGCACATAAATTTTGAAGAAAAAGTATTTTAACTCAAATCTGGGAACAGTATATCTAACATTATATGTCAATATATATAAGTTCCTGCTCAAATAAATCAAAAGAACTGATTAAAAGCACACGAGCCTTGTTATTCTTTCTTAAATGACTTGTAATTGAAGATAAAAGACAAAGTGATGAAATTTACTTTTTAAACAACTGGAAACATATTATTTTTACATACTTTTTGGTCATGTAGCTCTGCAACTGTTTCGGTTCTTATGCATCCTCGGCTTTCAAATATTCGGCTATATATGAACGTTCCTGATGAAGGTAAATCCGGAAAAGCTCTTTGGACGCATGAAATTGATAATGTGTTGTTTTCATATTTTATATTATATATTTGTTCATTTTCTGTCAAAGTTTGAAACTACTGTGAATTCTACTCAGTTTACTATTGTTTAAAGCAATTTATTATCTGCTGAGATACGATGTGGCTTGCATTTTTGTTACAGTTCAATATTTATTTTTATGGTTACACCTGACTACCGGTATCTATGAAAATTAATTAGCACATATGTCCATTAATGAAATTTGAGTGTTAATAAGTGAGTAAATTAAATAAGGTAAAAAAATGAATAGAATGACAACATTGAAACAGAGACTTGCTTTTTTACTAGCTCTTTAAAGTTTTGATTTTTTTGTCGATTGATTGTTTACCCCACATCTCCTTTAAAACATATTTTAAAGCAACTGGTTTGGACATTTTTCTCCTAAATAAATGACCATTAGATTCCAAATCAACACAAAATGGATAAATTTAACATGAAAAAAAACCAAGCTAGACTCTAAAAGAGTGGTGAAAGATACCAAAGGGATATTCAAACTCATCAGTTGAAAACAAACTGACAATACCATGGCAAAAAACGAAAAGGCAAACAGTATAAAAAACACATCATCAAAACTAAAGACTGAGCAACACAGCCCCACCAAAAATGAGGGTGATTTCAGGTGCTCCGGCAGGGTAAGCAAATTCTGCTCCACGTATGGCACCCGTCTTGTTGCTGATATAAGTACTAACTCAGTGATAAGTCTTAATTCAGTAGGTCACATTCGAGGAAAAGAGGACGGGATTGTGTCAATATCAACAAGGAGGTGTTCTGCCCTGGGTCAGCTTAGGGGACCTCAAACCCCTTGATGTGGTTCGGGTGTACACTTAAAAATGGCCTAGCTACGCCACTGAGGTGTGTATTTCCCCCCAAATTTTGTATTTAAGATTTAACCAACCAGCAAACATGGTCAATATAAGTATACAATGTACTAGTAAAACATCAACAAGTTTCCCAACAATGCTCTATGATAAAGTTCTCTTTGAAATATTTTTGTTTCTTTAAAGTTCCTGTCTTATTGAAGTATACCCCACATCTCTTTTTTTCTATTGAAAAGTATGGAATTATATGAATAAGTATTAATGAAAAGTACATTTGCTCTAAGGGAACATTGCATTGTTTTAGGTGATCAGAGAATTTGTTTTAGTTTGGAAATAACATACTTATAAAAAAGATGTGGTATGATTGCCAAAGAGACAACTCTTCACAAGAGACCAAATGACACAGAAAATAACAACTATAGGTCACCGTACGGCCTTCAACAATGAGCAAAGCCCATACCGCATAGTCAGCTATAAAAGGCCCCGAAATGACAAATGGAAAACAATTCAAACGAGAAAATTAACGACCTAATTAATGTACAAAAAATGAACGAAAAACAAATATGTAACACAGCAACAAATGACAACCACTGAATTACAGGCTCCTGACTTGGGCCAGGCACATACATACAGAATGTGGCGGGGTTAAACATGTTAGCGAGATCCCCTCCCCCTAACCTGGGACAATGGTGTAACAGTAAAACATAAGAACGAACTATAAAAATCAGTTGAAAAAGGCTTAACTCATCAGATTGATACAAATAGAAATACATCTAACAAAAACACAGAGTGGACGTGGCCGGGTACTTGTACATCCCAACAACAGAAAGAACAGAAAGTACAGATCTGAGAGTACTCGCAGTTACTGACAGCTAGTTTTTGTGTGGAGTTTCCCGTGTAAAACTGAAATATCTAAATCTAGGAAAGGACAGTTATTACCGTTTACATTTGATTTATTTAAAGTAAGTTCCTTTGGGTAAATTTCGGCAGTATATTAAGAAAATTCTTGATTATTTAACGAAAAAATATCATCAAGATTACGGTAAGTGTTGTTGAATTTATCAATTAAATGCAATTTAGACGGGTCTTTACTGAGTTTGGTCATAAACTGTGATTCATAACAAAACAAAAACAAGTCTGCTATTAAAGGGGCGCAATTAGTGCCCATAGGAATACCTACAACCTGTCGATAAACTTTGTTGCCGAAATGTACATAAATATTATCAAGGAGAAAATTAACAGCTTCAATCATCTCATCACACCTCCAGTAAGTATATCTAGCATATTAAAGAAGAAGGCTTTAAATGAGTTGCAGTAAATATATTTGCATTCAGATTTACCAAACGACCATTTAGGTAAATGGGAAAACGTTTGTTTGATAAGATTGTGTGGAAGTGTAGTGTAAAGAGTTGAAAAGTCAAAACTATAAACAGAATCAAAAGGACCATCAAAAGCACGTAATTTATCTAAAACATCCAAAGAATTTTTTACACTCCCAAAATAGTTAATTCCACTTTCTTCATATATCATGTATTTTTATTTACTCCATTTTTGTCTTTAATTTATAAGTTGTTCAAAGAGCAAATTATGTGTAAATGTAAAGGTTACAATGTGCAGGGAATTAAAGAATATCTGTACCAGTTTTATGTAAGTTACACATGCAAACTTAAAATTTCCTACAATGTTGTATAAACACTTTGTGTGCACGTTTGGAGAAGTTTTGCAGACTTTATAGAGGGTGTAACTTAGTTCATTTTAGCAGCATTTGCAAAAGAAAGTACTCATTCTATGTATTTGTTCATGCTCAAGTGGTCTGGTTAGAGGACAAGGTTCACTTTTAGCAAATTTTGGCTTCGAAATTCAACTGTATCATAAGATATCAAAAAGGCCACTATCAGGTTCTTAAATGGATCTAATCCAAAAGCCTGAATGTAAGGTAAAACAAAACAAATCTCTCCATAACCGTACATTTTAGGCTACAAAGTCAGCACATGTTTAGCTCACCTGGCCTAAAGGGCCAAGTGAGCTTTTCTCCTCACTTGTCATCCTTCGTCGGTCGTCTGTTAAATTTTACAAAAATCTTCTCTAAAACTACTGGGAGCCACAATCATTATTGAAGTATCTAGTTAAAAAGATGTAACTGATGACCCCGCCTGTCACCCAACATGGCTGCCATGGAAAAAATAGAACATAGGGGTAACATGCACGTTTTGTCTATTATCTTGAAAATTGCTTTAAACAGAAAATATTTGACATGGGCAAAAATGTTCAGAATGTTGAGCTCTACCTACTGTCCATTTATATAAAATTTTCTCATAGGAGTTATTCCCCTAAAATGATGGATTTTACAATTTTTTTTTTCATGTTTGCCTATAAGGTAGATCGGGTGTCTTTTTCTGAGCATTCCTTCTGGGCATGTTGCAAACATACTTTTTTGGTTTAATAATATTTAACCAATTTTCATTCTATATACAACAGAAACATATAAAAATTGAAAATTTAAGATTAAACCTTCATAAAATGAAGTGTTGTTAAGTGTATTTAAAATTTTCAGAAAATCCTTTTAAAATCAAGGGCAGATGAATTTGTAAAATAGGACAATTATGTTTTTGAGATTTTTCAAGAAAATAAGGACTGTGACCCCCTATTTTTATTTGATATTTCAGAAGAACTAATAAAAAGCAATTCTCTCATTGAATTTTAAACAACTCTATCGTTTAATTTTACCTGAATAAGGAAAAAAAATAGGTTTCCTCTATATGCAAAAATGCCACGGATCTAC